GCCCTCTAACCATCTTGGTAGCCCTCCGCTGGACTCTCTGCAGGAGTGCCATGTCTCTCTTGTACTGGGGAGCCCAGCACTGGACACAGGACTCCAGGTGAGGCCTCCGCAGGGCTGAGTAGAGGGGCAGGATCACCTCCCTCGACCTGCTGGCAACACTCTGCCTCATGCACCCCAGGATCCCATTGGCCTTCTTGGCCACAAGGGCACACTGCTGGCTCATGTTTAACTTGTTGTCCACCAGCACTCCCAGGTCCTTCTCGGCAGAGCTAGCTTACCTCCAGTGTTTCTTCATCGCTTCTCCAGTCGCTTCATTAGGAGTGACTCCTAATGCGAATAATTTAGTACCATCTCATATGTTCAGAATCCCCTTTGTCCATGTGAAAAAAATAAGTGATCTATAAAACTAGTATTTTAAGACTAATTTGGGTTTATAAGCAGAAGAGCTTATGTAGAGGGAAGGTTTACTAGAGCAAGAACTAAGAAAAACTTTGAAATACAAAAAGGAATGTTTTGGTGAGAAGTTTCTTCAAGTCCAGTGCCATCTTCTTTGAGTTATTTGAATCCTTTAGGTAAGAGTGTTAAAATTAGTTTTAATTAAGCTCATACAAATAGCTTGGAAAAAAAATGCTGTATGAAGTGTCTGCTGGGGAAGGTGCCAGCTGAGGAAGGAATTTGCCAGTAGTGGTGACAAATAGATGTTGGCTCATGGGCATCTGCACACATATATAAGCTTGCTGCTGTAATCACGATTATTGTTAAATTTAAGCTCTTTGTCCCTCCGTGGAGTCCCATAACTTGTGTTTCTTTACAATAATTTTTTTCTTCTAGTTAAGGCATGCAGTCTTGATTGCACTGTACTTTGCTTGGAGACATGATTCAGTAGTTAATCACCTCACTTGCTAAGAACGTGTGCTATATTTGTCTAACTCCACCTTCCAGACATGGGTCTGTCTCAGCAAAATTGATGAGCTTTCTGCAGATTTGTGTTTTCTCCCCATCAATTTATGCACTAATCAATCTTTTATTCCTCTTTGTTGATAGATTCAATATAAATAATTTTTCCCCTTTCTTGAATTCTTTATGTGTTATTTTCTGCCCCCTCTCCAATTTTTAAACTTCAATTTGAATAATCAATTCTTGGTCAATAAGCATTGTGATTCCCACCAATGCTATGTCTTTGACGTAAAACCACCTCACTAGTCTTTCTCTTGTAAAGAGGTGTAAGGATTAGCTGAGTCCAGTATCACACCAGTAGTGAATTTGTGAATTGTGAATTTGTCATTGACTATAAGTTTAAATTGTTTTCAGAATCACAGGCTAGCAGGAGATGACTGGTGCCCTACCTTGTGTAGCCATTGCTGCCATTCTATTCAGATGAACAGATTTATTGTTCCTCCCTGAGTGTTTTGGTTTGTGCTTGGTAGAATTAACATAGTGTTGTTTGAATTGTCCCACCTTTTTCCAAGCAACTCAGGGTTCAAATGAACCTTTTTTCATGATGTTTTGTATGTTTTAAGCTTTTGCTGTTATCCTGTCCTTTAACCACAGGAAGGAAATTCAACTATATTAAAAATTGTGTCACCATTTTTCTCTCTCTATTGTTTTTTTTCCTCCTTCCCTAACTGTGAACCCCATGCTGCCCCAAAATGGCCTCTCGCTTTGTATGAGTCCTTTGAGAAGCAGTCTAAGGTGCCAGGCTCTCATAAGTTTTCATTTCCCTGCAAAATCATGCAGGAGGAGCAGATTTCTTGAACAGAAGGATGCTATAATCTCCTAATGCTTTAATTCTCTAACTGTGCATGAAGCACAGCAGTATCACCCTAGAAAATAATTCTAAGGCAAGCATAGGAGCCAAAATTTTACAGCTCAGTAGGTTTTTCAACATCTGATTGCCTGTGCCAATGGTATCTAACTTGTACTCGAAAGATCATTGTTTGTCAATAAAGTTATGCCAGTTGAATTATGCTGTAAATCCATATTATGTGTTGTAAGTTTTGTAAATAACTGCCGGCTACGCAGCATTTTCCAAATGTTTTGCACTTACCTGATTCATTAGGCTGACCTTGTAAAAGCATTTAGTAGTAATAGCTGCCGAAATGATTCTTAGGACCATCTTAACTAAATATTTATTTAATGTCTTCGTGTTTTCAAACGCTGAGGTCTGTTTCCCAAGTGGAATTCTCTGGCTATGCCTTCTAACGTCATCATTTCCAGAATCTGATGAGTAGCTTTCTAGGGAATCCTGAAAAGATGTATATATGCATGTTATGTTCTACTTACTTTCAACCCTATTGCCTTCAAGGTTTATTCATGTTTAGTAACTAAGCAGTCTTGCACTCTTGCTCCAGATGTTCCTGAAAGATGATCACTTTGAGCTCTGAGCACAGTTGTTTTATAATGCACTGTAATGCTACGTAGCATCTTAGCATATAGACTTGGAACTATAAGCAGTAGGTTACCTGAGATAGAATTTGTCCTTGACCCCATCTTAATCCACAAGCAGGATTACTGTTGGGATCAGAAAATATCCAGAACTTAGTGCCGTGAGCAAACAAAGTGCTAGGTTGCTGCTGCAGTAATCAAAAGCAGATTTCATGATCGTTTTCTTTTTCTTTCCCTTTTGTGTGTGACAGGCAGAGGAGAGGACCACTGCTCTTGTCCTCAGTGTGGAAAGAAGAATGCTTGAGTAACTGAAATGGGCTGTCAGCAGCTGTTTACTTCCGGTGCTCTCTAAAGCCCTCCCCTTGCAGCTCTTAATTTGAACGCATTAGCGCTCTGAAGGCATTCGTTATACCAGTACAACACTGTGTAATTCTTCAGAGATGCTACATTTGCAAATAGGAAAGTCTCCATTACTTAAAATAAGTAATCTAAGTACAGAATGGAATTCCCAAAACTAAAGCAAGTTTTTATCACAACTCTGCAAACTGCTGCTGTAATTTTTTAGTAGACTGTTTTAAAAAAAAAAAAAAAAAAGCTGGAACTTTGCTCTTGGATCATTAAATTCCTGTAGCTGCTGGTTACTTATTTACAACTGGAAGTTCACTAATCTCTTATGTTATAAAAATCTTAACGTGTTTAGAAAAAAAACTTCTGTGTTGTCTGTAGCCTGTTTGAGGTGATGGTTACTTATTTATTCAAATGTATATTTTTCTGTATAAGATCTTCATCCCAAAACTGCAAATCCTGGAATGATTTTCAGAAGCATTCTCATTCTCTGCTAGAGAGTTGCTGCTGCCCTGTGTCTGACAAAATTAGCATGTATTGCAATGATAACTGTGCAAGTGAAAAATCTGTTCGGGATTAGGTCTTAAGATTGTTGATCTAGCCATCTTGAATACTTATTTGGAGACATACCTAGCTTCAAATGTTCTAGACATACTTATGTAAAAGGTATGATGTGTGAAATAATTTCTGTTTTTGTCAGATATTTAATATAGATGATTCTGGTATGGGACTAATTGGTTGGCAGCTTAGAATGCTAGCAGGAGAGAGAGTTTTAAGTTAAGTATTCTTCAGTTGAGAGGCAGAGGGTTGTTTAACTTTTTCCAGTTCTGTTCCAGAAGTAAGTTAAATTTCTTTATTCACTGGAGACAAAATATTCAGCAAAGGCCAGAATAACTTTGCAATGCAAACCCAATTTTCATAGAATTTATGAATCATAGAAGTACTGTTTTTTCTCAGCTCTCTAGAATTTTCTGATATATTTTAAAATCTATGCAGCTCATTCAAGATAAAAATTCCTGAGCCAAATGACTAAGATGATAGTTTTCCCTTATGTCCTTGCTCCTTGGGCTGTAGAAAGGCTACTGCGGGCTCTCTGACTACAGTCCTATAGTTAGAGGAGACAGAAGAAAGGGAACCAGTAAAATTCTGCCCTCCCACTTCCTACCAAAAGTATTGCTGGGAAATGGAGTTTCCCACTACTTTGTGTTTCATGCTTTAGATTTTCTGCTGGGGGCTTCCATCTCTCTCCAACTTCTTACAAGTCACATACATAAAAAGTTATTTTGTTGTATTTCAGAAGATACCTCATAATGACGTTGTCTTCTTGTTTACTCTGGAACACGTTTGACATGAGTGCAGCTATGGACTCTAAACCCAATATACTTCTGTTTGTGGCTGATGATCTTGGCATTGGAGATATAGGTTGCTATGGAAACAATACCATAAGGTAAAAGATCTCTTGGTATAATATATTTAACATGATAAAACATCTATCCTGGGGAATTAAACCTAGTTATATAATAATAAATATTCCTAATTTCTTAATCAAATACTCTAGTAATTTGGGAACTTGTATATTTAAGTACTTGTATGTATTAGTATAGGATTGGGGACTAAGTAAACAATGTACAGTGAAGGGAAAAAAAATGTTTTTTCTTAATGTTGTTCCTGAAAATTCCTTTTTTGTCTCTGTGCTAACCCTCTAACCACCTGTTTTAGTATTACAGTTACTGTTTTCTCTCCTTCTCATGCATGAATTTCTTCATTCCTTTTTGTATATAGTTAAGCCTTACTCTATCCACCCAGTGCTTTCCCAGAATCCCTAATCCATTCGCTTATTGCCTTCTCCGATACACTCCAATCTAGACTCCTGCGGGCTGGCCCACCTGAGTCATTACATGATTTTGTTCCTTCAAAATTAGTGATTACATTCCTTCAAAACTAAAAAGGCAAAGCTGGAGCAAATGGGCATTGGCAGCACTTCTTACATGCCTCAGTTGATGTTCTCCAAGAGATGCAGCACCGTTTTGTTGGCATGCTCTGGGCATTTGTCCCTAATGTGATGTTGATACAATTGTGCAGAACAAGGAGTGTGTGGTACCATGTTGTCCTTCATCATGTTACACTCCTCATGGTGTTGTAATCTATTCTTCTGGAAGAGCTAGGGTCCCATACAAGTGTGACAATGTAAAGGTATATCACTATATCATGAAATAAATAGCACATGTTATCAACGTGGAACAAAAAAATCTTGGTTCCAAGAGCTCCAGACACCCAGGACGATTTTCTGGCTCAATGAACTCTGAAATTCAGGGTGCAGATGGGCTGCTGAAAGTGACCTCTTGGAAGTGTTGGAATAGAGGAGTACCATCCTTTTCTAGGTAAGTCTTTCCATTTCAGTTTTATTTTCAAACTAAACTGCACCAACAATTTCTAAGTTTCTTTTCAGGGTTGCCAAGTACACTCTATGGCTTTGTCCCAAGAATTGATTCTCCAGTGGCTAGAGCCTGCTTCACCTGCTGTATCAAACATGTTACCATACTAGTCCTAGAGCGTGTACAGAGAAGAGCTTTTTGAGGAATTTTTCAAAATCTCTATAGTTTTTCTTAACAATCTGTTAAAATAAGTTTGATATTGCCTTGCTTCTATTAATATGAAACTGTTGTTTAGGACCCCGAACATTGACCGTCTGGCTAGAGAAGGAGTGAAACTTACTCAGCACATTGCCGCAGCTCCGCTCTGCACTCCGAGCAGAGCAGCTTTTCTCACTGGCAGATACCCTATCAGATCAGGTTGGACCCACTTTTAAATTACAGATTTCTGTGTTCAGTGCAGGGGTGCTAAGATACACAATACGTATTAGAACAGAAGATAACTCAACTATTTCCTTAACTTGGGATAGAAAAAACTTTGCCAGTGGCTCAAACTTCAGGTAAATGACTTCTGAATGGTAACCACTGCCTCACCAGCTAACAGACCTTTAGCCTTTATAGGATGTGGGAGATATGTATGATGCAAATAAATTAGTATGGATAAATGCCAACAACATTAAGTAATATATGTCACTTCCTTACTGCAACACAGCATGATGCTAACTGTTGGAACGCCTCTTGGCAGTGAGGGTTAGAGGTGAGGGGCCGAAACAAGGGTCCCAAAAGGAAAGGGCAAGTTCAGTACCTCTGCAGTGCAGCAAGTCACAAAACTCCTCTGAAAATGAAACACTGGATCCATTCCACACCTATTAAGGCACCTTTTGGGTAACTTTATAGGTATCCTTCTCTTGCTGGGAGCTATATAGGAAATATAGATGCTTACTTTAGAAAGGCAAAGTGCAAAATCAGTATATGTGTTAGGTGAACTGTGTGTCATCTAAACATGCCACTGCTGTAGTCATTACATCTCTGGCATGAGTCATGCTAATTCAGTGTTGACTGCAGCTTGCCTTTGACCTCCATAATTACAGCTTATACAGAGAAGACATTTAGTCTACCCTTTTGGCTACACCAAAAGTGTGAAGTTTGCACCTGCTGAGTAGGAATTCTATTTCAAATTCTTAGCAACAATGAAATCAAGCCTTTTTGTAAGACTTTAAAGATACCTAGTGAGAAAATTTATTTTAAGCATATAAACCTTATTACTCTAAGATCTGAGTACATGATAGCTTTTGATATATTTATATTCAATACATCACTCTAAAATAGGGAAATGCAACTGGAACAGGAAGACTGAATTATCACAGTTGCTCAGAAAGGCAGAAAATAAAACTTACTATATACTGTCATCACTAATTTATTTTCAAATTGATGGTAAAACTGGTTTCAAATGGTATTTGTTTTAAAATATAACTCCTGACTACCTGAAGTACTTAGATACAGTATTGATAATGTGATGTGACTGCCTACAAGACATGCCTGGCTTTACATCTTGTGATGAGCTCTGTTAGCTTCAGGTGAAGCACCTGACTCAGAGGCTGACAAGAGCAGCCTGGCCTCTGCATGCACAGAGGGAAAGACGTGCACAGAATGACCTGGATTATTTTTGTCAGGGATGGCCTCCAGCAATCAGTACCGAGTGCTGCAGTGGAACGCAGGGTCAGGAGGGCTCCCTGCAAATGAAACCACCTTTGCTAGGCTGCTACAGAAACAAGGCTATACCACTGGACTGATAGGTAAGTGAAAATGTTTTATCATGCATTTGAAGAATGATCTAGTTATATGAAGGAAATCTGGTGACTGTATTCACCCGAAATGGTCCATTAGTCATAGATATAAATCCTCCAAAAGACAGAGGGGAGAAAATACTGATATTTCCAGAAAGACTAAAAATGCTACAGTTTAAAGACTTTATAACAAAATTAATGACTGTACCGGGCACCTGAAACAGAAGAGATTAAAAACTGACTTGGTTGTAATGGATTAGCATTTATTTTGTGTGGCTTAAAACTTTTCAAAGATTGGTCCACTGAGAGAGTTTTGTCTTCTTGGTACAAACAAGAAAGTTTGTACCCACAGAGCAGAAGTTTGCGCTCATAAAGCAGGAGTATTTCACAGGTGAGGCTGTGAGTCCCCAAGGAGGCATAGCCTTGTGGCAGTTTCCTCAGATAAAGCCAAGCTGCAAAAGTGTGAAGGAAACATCACTATAGCACATCTGTCTATCTGTAACCTGGATCAGACCTCAAGACTTTCAAGATCCATCATTCCTCTGTCAAATATCTTTAAAATTGACTAGCAAAGTATCTTCCCTTCTGTTCAGCTTTCATTACTGTTCAAGTGATAAAGGCTTCTGCAAAGAATCCTTTCATGTAAATTGACTAAGTACAGTCAGCACTGGCTCCCTTAAAACCAGGGTTTGGGTCCGGCTGTGCCAAATCCGCTGCCATCTCCAGTGTTAGGAAACAGACATGGCTGTGTTGAATTGAGCTAATTAAGTGCAGTCTTCCTGACTGAGCCTGTAATTACGTGGCAATTACCTACCCCAGCAAACCTTGGGGTCTTCTGATCCAGCAGGTTTTTCAAGCAGACAACAGCTTTTGTCTGCTCAGTCTATTTGGTGGATAAGGCAGGGGTAGAGTGAAAGGTTGGTTTATACCTTTTCATCTCTTTCATATGGAATGGAGACATGCTTGGGAAATCATCTTCCTGAGGCTAGTGATTGTTTGTTAATATTGGCTGAAAATTCACTGGATCTTCCAGTAAGTTTGTAACATTATATTAATTATTATTAATGAAATTTCAAGTCAAGCACTTGAAAGTTAGAAAGGGACTGTGATAAAGCAGTCTGCGAGTTAGAGTGTCTTCAGTCCTCTAGTTGAAGGCTAATGAAACCCCATCCTTATGTGATCCTCTTCACTTCAGTAGCTGAGTGTTTTGCAAGTTTCTCTGTTTGCTGCATGGCCATTGGGGAGTCATATGTTATGGTATAACATTCATCTGATCAGGCGTTGTATTTAATGAGCATCTTGTGCACTGGGGAAATGCTTTGATACCCTTTTTTCAGAAAGGGAGCGACTTACCTAATTCCTAAACAGTACTACCTTGGCTTCTTTTGAGTTGTCTACACTAATGTTCTAATTTGTTTCATGCTTTAAAACCTTCAGGGAAGTGGCATCAAGGTGTAAACTGTGAATCCTTCAATGATCACTGCCACCATCCTCTAAACCATGGGTTTGACTACTTCTATGGCATGCCTTTCACGCTCCTGAACAACTGTCAGGAAAACAAACCTCCAGAGCTGGGTGCAGCCCTTCAAGCTAAGCTTTGGCTATACAGTCAGATGATTGCCCTTGCTGTGTTCACTCTCACTGCTGGAAAACTGACTGGTTTGATTTCCATCTGTTGGAAGATAATTGCCTGTTTTACTTTGTTGGGCTGCATTTTCTTTATTTCTTGGTACTCCAGTTATGGCTTCGTGCAGTATTGGAACTGTATCCTGATGAGGAATCATGATATCACTGAGCAGCCGATGAGGTTGGAGAGGACTGCTTCTCTCATACTGAAGGAGGCAACATCATTTATCAACAGGTGACTAATTGTCTGCAGTTTTCTTTAAAGGGGGCAGGGTGTTTTGGGCTCTTGCAATAGAGTGTTTTCTACAGAAACTGTAGTTGTGTCTTGATAATTGCTTTGAAAGTCATATCAGTGTTCTGTATTTAGAAACTCCATGCACTTATGCTTTAGTTGCAACTGTCTTGAATTTGAACTTACAACAAATGAGATAGATTTTTAGCGAAGTGATACATAATTAGGAAACTGTTCTAATTCATTATATGCTTGGAGCAAATAATACATTTGCTCCAAGACTAACCAGCTAAATTATACATTTCACTCTACAAGCCTCATTTGTGCTGTTTCTCATAAGCCCAATAAAAACACCTAGATAGAGCACTGCATGTTACACAATTATTCCAGCTAAATATCTAACAAACACTTGAAGTTCATTTTCATGGCATTCAAATGCTTGAGAAGAAAGCAAGTTAAGATGATCCATGTTCTAGCCCCAAGTTTTTCTGCCTGCACAGCCTTGGGTACTTATTTCTGCACATGAATTGTCTTTCTATAAAACCGGAAAGTAACTATTCTTTTCTTCAAGACTGAAAACAAATATAATGAAAACTGTAAGTGACTCCCTTAGAAAAGCTGTGTAAATACTAAATATGCGATTGCATCTGGTTGGTTTTATCTTAAAAGGCATCAGAGTTAGGTATCTAATTCATTTAAGCACTCTATACATGCTATGCCTATCTACACATTAGAATTTTAAAATAATCAGTCTGATTGAACACATTCTTTCTTTGATATGTTTTATGCAATAAGAAAACTGCTAACCATGATCAATGGAGATATGTTGGATGTGGGTACAGTCTAGACCCAATGTGTGTGTCTGTGCATGAATGATGTACATTTATTATTATTATTATTTAGAAACAGGCACAGACCGTTCCTTCTATTCGTTTCCTTTCTACATGTTCATACCCCACTTTTCACTACGGCAAAATTTCTGAAGAGGAGTCAACATGGTTTATATGGAGACAACGTAGAAGAAATGGACTGGATGGTGGGTACGTATTTGTCATAAAAGATTTGTCTTATACATATACCTGTGTGTTTTAAAGCAGGAAGAGTAATAAAGCCAAGGTATCTAAAGAAGTCTAAACTATTAAAAGCTTCTCCTAATATGTGCCGAAGATTACTTTATGAAATACTATAAAAAGTCTTGATCTACCTGTTTGGTTAATAGGAACCTCGCTGTCTCCCTTCTTAAATTTAAGGCAAAATTCTGGATTCTCTTGACAAGGAAGGTTTGAAAAATAATACATTCACATACTTTGCCTCTGACCATGGAGGACATTTGGAGGCTCAGGATGGTTCTGCCCAGCTAGGTGGCTGGAACGGTATCTATAAAGGTAGGAAATACAGTATGACTTTATATGAAGGTTAGAAACAGCTGTATAATGAACTTGCCTTGCTAAAGCTGTCAAGGATGGAATGAGTTGCATTATTTTCTAGATGAAATATGCATGTCATGCAGAGGTGCTTTAATGTTTAAGTCACCTTTTCTTTCAGTAAGATGCAAGCATTATTATTGATCTCTATGATAAAGGTGTTTTATTGTTTGGTACCTTTAAGACATTCATTTTTTTTTCTCAACTGAAAGTCATAGAGGGAAGTTTGTTTATTGTTGTTGAGTGTTTGCTTTTCAAAGGAAGATTTGCTGTTCCTACCATCTTCCTAGATTGCATTTCAGCCCTTCTGAAGTATGTGAAATCCAGTGCAAATGAAGAGTAAGTCTTCTGGATAAACAGTGTATTACTGTGTTTTTGTACATTCAAATGTAACAAGCCCATGGATAGGTTTGTGTTTAATTCTGTAACTGCCTTGAAACTGCTATACATTGTTTTTTTTTCACTACAGGTGGGAAAGGTATGGGAGGCTGGGAAGGAGGGATCCGTGTGCCAGGCTTATTTAGATGGCCAGGAGTGTTACCTGCAGGCATAGTTATCGATGAACCTACAAGCCTTATGGACATTTATCCCACTGTAGTTCATCTGGCTGGAGGAATGTTACCCCAGGACAGGTATGGACACAAGAAAGCATATTCGCTGTGTCATCTATTGTGATGTCAATGAGTGTTATTTTGTGTGTGCTTTTATGACGAGGAAGGCATTAAACAATGGATTTTGTTGACCTGTTGCATTAATGTACTGTTACACACAACAGGGAGACACAGTAGGCTATAGAGTTCATAGGTGCAGAAAAGATCTGCATCTCTAAGTTTGTAAATATATTCGCTGAGTGCTTGAACTAAAAAGAGCAAGCTGCTAACCACTGGACACCATAAAGGTCCCTGATCACAGAAAATCCCTGTGGTAGGTATAGTGACGAGGGAGGGAACAGAAATGGAGGTAGGAAATCAGAAGTTCTTTTCTGTTAGCTTGCCTTATTCCCACACCCTCCCCCATCCCCTCTAATAGAGGGAAAAAATACACGACATGAGTGGTTGAAGGGCCAGTTACGATGTCTTGAAAAGACAACATTTTTGATGTCATTTTATTGTCATTTTTAGTGCTGTGAAATGAGGAACCATTGCCTCTTGTAGACCTTCAGAATGTGTGCAATTGATTTAAAGAAAAACTATAGAAAGATAATCTCTTTTGGTTTTGTTCAAACTTTTTTCAACAGGAAGAAAAAAGCAAACTTGGTGATTTCAGTCTTAAGCATTTCAGCCTTTAACACTTAATCACCATTCATATGAAGAGGAGAGGGCCAGATGCGTATGTCGCTCAGTGCATATGTAGGTGATGTGGGTCAAACATGCTGACCTCTCTCCAAAACGCTTGAACCCACATCTCCAACTGCATCTTCCAGGCTGTGATTATTCTTTCCCTAGCTGAAACTGTTTCAGGTTTTTACTTGCTTAATATTCATTGGAGTTAAGAGTGAAACTTTCTCACTGAGTCTGACACAAAGTGAGGTGATTTCAACAGGAGAGAGTGACAGGGTAGCTAACTACCCCAAGGTCACTGAGTTTCTTAGGAAACTTATAATCCTTGGAGATCCCTCAAATATTCCTCAGCCTCAAGCCTAGTCTATCTAAGATTTTAAACTGCTGAGTGAATTCTGACAGATATGCCCAGAGGTACTTTCCTGACCAGGGTAGTTTTTGAATTATGGCCGATTCCAAATTCCTCCTGAAGTCATTAAACCCATCCTTGCTCAAGAGGTTTCATGAAGCTCTTTTGAAAACTGCTGTGTATAAACAAATTTGAGATCAGTAATGATTTCTTGAATAAAGGATTTTTTTTCCAGTAGGTTAAATGCTAAGTACCAATTGTTTACCAATTGTTAAATAGAATGAGTTGACACTGCTGTTTTTTTAATAGCATTTTTACCTAGTGACTTAAAATATTAGCTTGACATGCTGATGGCTGCTCCAAATGTATGGCCAATTTACTGTGTAAGCTCTCTAGCACTGGTGCAGCCAATGCAAGGACAGTGATAAGTATGCTGCTGATTCTGTCAGGTTTGCCCCAATTTGAATACCCTTCTCTCCATCACATTAGAGTAATTGATGGACAGAACTTGATGCCTTTACTGCAAGGAAGAGTTCAACAGTCAGAGCATGAGTTCCTGTTTCACTACTGTGGGTCCTATTTGCATGCAGTGCGGTGGCACCAGAAGGACAGTGAGTATAAATATTTGTTTCACGCTAGCTGGAAAACATAACAAGCATTTCCTTCCTCTTCATAGCCATCTTGCTAGCTGCTAGATTTCTTGCATGAGTGTGTTATCAATACTGATCTCTGTTCTTGAAATTGTTCTGCGTGATATGCCAGTGCCTCTGGCCAGCTGAAGGTGTCTCATAGCCTGTGTTCTCACTGCACTTCCTATTCATTCTTGTATATTACTTATAAATATCTACTTGCTATCTAGTACTATAGTGGGAGGGTTTTATTGTTTTCTTCATATTTCTAGTGTTTTCCATCCTCAAAATCAATACTGAGTGTAGAGAAGCCGATTCCTGATGTGTGTAGGTGAGGGTAGTAGTGAGGAAAGGAGATCTCCTTCGTAAATAGCTATATTGCTATTGCTTGAAGACACTTTTCATTTTCCTCTTTTGTCTCCTACTTGTGCCCTAATATTTCCTTCCTCCCAGGTGGAGCCATCTGGAAGGCTCATTATGTGACCCCAGTCTTCCTTCCACCTGGGGCTGGAGGTTGTTACGGAAAGAGAATTTGCCCATGCTTTGGGGAAGGTGTGACCCATCACAATCCTCCGTTGCTGTTTGATCTCGCACGAGACCCTTCTGAAACCAGACCTCTAGCGGCTGACACTGAACCCCTCTTTGACACTGTAATAAAGAGGATTGGAAGAGCCATTGAAGAGCATCGCAGGACACTGACTCCAGTCCCGGAGCAGCTCTCCTTGTACAACGTCATATGGAAGCCGTGGCTGCAGCCGTGCTGTGGGACATTCCCATTCTGTTGGTGTGATAAGGAGGGTGACAGCACACGTACTTCGTGAGATGGATGGCCACTAATATGTTCTGTGGCGCTGAGTTCTCTACTGAGAAAGGTTTCAGAAGATAATCATGTTGGGGCCCAATAAAATATTGTTTTTCTTGGAAGAAAAGTAGATGAAAATAAAGAAAAGGAATGTTGAACAGAGACTTTTTCCCTTTCATTCTTCATGACTAGGCAAAGGTCTAAGAAATTTCCTGTCTTGTGTGGAAAGGGCCTGAGAAGAGACCAGTTTTTCAGATTTGCATCTAAGAGGCCACTGTGGAGGTATATTCCTAAACTGTGTCTAATTAATACCTACCCAAGGAAGACAACTGGAAAACTCTCTGCAGAGAGCCTAGTGTATGGTGTTGAACAGGCAGCCAATAAGAAATACTAGACTTGTGTGGATGTTTGCATATGTGCCCCCACAGTCTACAAATCATGGTCATACTCTAGCCAAAAATAGGAGTTTGAGTCGTTATTGCTTCCTCTCCTCCTTTCTCTCTCTGCAAAAATACTGTTAAATTCTGTTGGTCTACTAGTACAAAAATACCGCTATATGAAGTACACTTGAACACCCGAGACAGAGTGTATCTGATTTCGTGAAGGATATTCTTCAAGTTATAAAGAGCTTTTTGAACAGATCTGCAGCTTTAGCTGGGTAACAATAACATATCACAGATAGTATAAAGTATAAAATGTTGAAGTCCAAAATAACTCTACAACAGTTGCAACAAGGAGATAAATGATTCGTTCTTCAGAACGAGGTCCTATTGTATACTAGTTCGGTAGATAGCAATTTTATTGAATAAAAGATACCAATAAAAATGTTTTATCTAAATAACTTACACTATTTCGAAGTCAAAGTTCTAGAAAAACAGGGTTCACTTGAGAGAGTCATTGGAATTAATGCTTAAAAATATTTAGTAGTAGACTATTTAGTTTTAAAACTGTTCACCAGCCACCACTCGGATAAAGGAATCTTTCCAATGCTAGTCCCAAAAAATAGTAGTGTAGCCTTAGCCGGATTTTTCAAAGGAGATCTGTGACTTCCTGTTTACACTGAAATTTGCAATGAGTTTACACAGATTTTAGTACCTTGATCTATACTAAGGACTATTTTCTGCGTAAGGTAGATGGAGTCAGAGGTCTTTATAAGCATGCTGGTAAAGCTTTGTAGAGAAATTGGGATCTGGAGAAGGTAAATGGCAACTGATTATTGATATTGATAGCTTCCCTCCCCCCTGGAATGTTCCTGCAAACGTTTTACTTGCTCTGCCAATTGATTCATTTTAGTTGATTAAGAGTTTTCTTCACATTTCTTTAGTGTTTTTTTTTCATAAGTATAACCTAGACATTTGTAGAAGTTGTTTCTATTTGTGTCATTTCAGTATTTGTTCTTCACTATTTTAAGTTCCCTCAGAAACCTCCTCACACGTAAGAAGGAATATATGAATGTCCATATTTGCTTTTAGAAGACAAATATGTGAGAATAGCCAGATAAAGAATGGTAACATAAAGCACACCACAATTGAAAAGTATGTGTTTGCTGACGGAGAATTCATCTGCAGGCAGTAGTGAATAAACAACAGCTTCCTGTGGTTAGGCACAGTCAAAAACAGCTTATTTGAAGAGAAGGAAATACTGCAGGGCTCCAAATGCAGCAATCTCCTTTCTGCTTTGTTATCACAAAGCTGTAACTCTGATAAAAGATCTTGCTTCAAAGCTTAGTTCTACTGAGGACAATAACTAATCACAGCTGTTACCGCTGTATTGAGTGACTAACAGAGTGGTGAGTAAGAGGATGCAAGGTCTGTACTAGCAGAATGTCTCCTCCAGTTCCAAATACTTAGTTTTCTTATCAGGGAAAAACTTAAGGTTTTTTTTTTTAAGGCAGTCCAGCAACAGCATGGGCACATCTTCAGCTGTGATGACATGGGGAGAATGATGGAAACGGTCTAGAAAAGATAAAAGACTTTAGTTATAATTTGGACTGTAGACAGATGTAAATTAGTACTTGCACTACTAGTAACTTTTAAAGAACCACCCAAAGCATGACATAATTTTCAAGAAACTCTCTTTGCACTGGAAGCATCACAAACGTGTTAGGTAATCATACCAAGTAAATACTATAATCAAATAGGTATTGGTAAGAGTAGCCAAATTTAACAATTTGTCTCATATACAAATAACTAACTATGAGCAAAGTGATCAGTGAAAACAAATGTAAACCATGTGAGCAAAGTGCTCAACAAATCGAACTGCCTTCAACCATACTTATCCCTCCAGCACTTTTATACAAATCTCATAGTTTAAAGTGCTGTCTTTCTGTCACACTGACTTCTACTGCCTTCTCTCAAACACAGTGTTAAATTCAGCATTCACGGTATTAATATTCAAGGCATTCAGGGGCCTGAAATGTCAACAAATGAACAGACATTATTATTTATAGCATTTCTTCCATGGCACTGAAATACAGCAGCAGTGGAGTTTATACAAATCTGCATAGAATTAACTGCACGAGGAATCTAGGAAAGGCAGCAGCCATGTTATGCCAGGATTTCAAGAAAACTTTGTGCTCGGTCAGCCAGGAATTCATGTAAAACTTTAACAGCAGTTCCAGTTTGCTTGCTGTTCCTGGCGGGGATCCCAGTCAGTTGCTCTGTGAAGACTGGGGGAAGGGACGGCAAGAGGAAAAACATCAAGTCAGCACCACTTCCTCCCAGTGATCTTAGTGGACCGGTGCTGCTAAGCAAACCAAGGAGTGCAAGGAATTTCGGTGCAAGAAGACTAATTGAGACGAGTTTGTTTTCCATGTTGTTTAAAAAGGGGTTGGCTTCTATTGGTTTTGATGACTGTTTACTGTGTCTTGCTGGCTTAGCGAGGAAATTAGAGTCTGATGTTTTCTTAGATTTCTGTAAGTAACTGTGCTTATTTCAAAAGGCAGTTGTTTGTTAACTTTTATGGATTTTTTTTTTTTCATTTAACAGATAAGGAAACTGTACAAGCTCTAGGGCCCAGGACCATGTTCGTCATGCTCTCGTAGGGGTGTCAGTGAGAGCTCTACTTTCACAACGAAACAGCACCTAACAGAAAAAGGTGAATATGCACGTTTAAATGGATTTTTTTTATGAGTTTGGTATTTCTCTTAGCCTTTCAGTAAGAGTACCATTCCTAAAATGGTTTGCAGTAAATCAGAGAGCACTAATTTTCAGCATGTCATGAGCAAAGATACTAAGACATGAGTATCTTTTAGGAGCACTGCAACGGCTTGATTCCAAGTTCACGGCTTTCCCACAGGGCTGTACAAAGTCTCTTTCTAAATAATAACGTAAATGCTGTCACCAGTGGCTGTGTCACTGTAACCTATTGAAAGAAAGCAGAAGATAGCAGAGCTGCTATACCAGCTTGGAAAACTTATGAACACTCTTAGGAATCTAGGGATTTCTTAGATGCTCAGATCTATCTGACACTTTTGTTCTACTGTAGCTTACAGGGGCTGTAGTAATCCTCAGTTACTCAACCTAGACTGAGAACGTTTTCATTGCAATAGCTTGGGCTTACTGATGTACCCCCCAACCCTTTTAATCACAAAGCTGCCCGCCAGCTGCCGGGAAGGCAGAGCCTGGCTGGCTTTGTTAAAGCACCATGGAGAAGTTTCATTACAGATAAGGGCCAGAGCCGTTGCTGGCTCTGCCTCCTCCCAGGTTAATGCCTTTGAGCATTTGCCTTATCATTGCCTCAGCACTGCATGGGGCTATTAATTTCTTGGTGCTTTTGTGGGAATTGCTGCTAGGCTGTGATAAAGAGGCACCAATACCGTGCAAAAAAGTGATGTTAATTCCTAGTAGTGAGTTATTTGCTTCACATTAATGTAGCCTTTTTTTGGAAGCATGACACTGGACCTATGGCATCTGCACTGGCAACAAGATCCTTCTTCAAACACTTGGTGAGAGAGGGCTCTCTGCTTTCCCATTAACCTCTGAGTCAGCCAGTGAGCAGGGAGGATGAAGTCTCAGTACTCTCTCTTGGGATCCTGCCCATAAAGAGAGTGAAGTGCCATAAACCACATGGAAGATGCTACATTTAACACAGATTAAGCGCATAAGAAACAAGGATATGGACAAGAAGCATAACTTTTTGAAGCATATCATTTTGGCCGTAGGCAGATGGACACCTGGATGTTATTTGTAAAAATCATCAGTGGACTTGGATCTGACCCCTTTTATACTATTTTCCTAGTAAGAATAGCATCATTTACAGTTTTCTTATCCTATGACTCATTCTTTGAAACTCATAGGGCAGGATTATGTCTTACTCTGTCCAATTTATCATTTTGCAGACATACAAAGTAACTATCATTCTTATATACCATTTAAAGTGGAAAAAGTTTCTCTCAGAAAATGCTGCTGTTTTCCCATTTGAGAATGTACTGATTGGGTGGAAAAAAAGAACAAGTTTTTCATTAGTCAAGATGGAACCTTTTAGGAACTTTTACTTTGTGTTTAGAAGTGACTTTTTAATTACAAATGTGCCTTCTACAATTATAAAAATAAAAAATCAAAATGGAAACAAACCATCTTTTTTTTGTTGTTGAACGTAAGTAAGCTTATTAGCCTCAAACTATTCCTTAATGGAACTGAGAACATCTTTGTTCTTGTGCTGGTTTGAAATGCAAAGAAGTGTGGGAAAGTAAGAATTTCTTATGGACTGGATATTTCAAATTCTGATCTCTTTCCACACAGAAGAAAATAAAAGGCACCTCTGATTTATTTTGGTGTGCAGCATTAAGATAAGCCTGTACCAGTCCCCGTGGAACCAATTTATCATGTGTTTCTGTATGGCTGTTACATCTTCAGTGCAACATTTTTTACAGAAACTTTAGTCTGAGCGTACATTTCCAAAACCATTCTTTGTCCAGATTAGTTATCCTGGTTATTTCAACAAGCATAGGACATTGCTACCACTCATAATATTTGACCTCCCAGACAAAAAAAAAATGTTTATGAACTAAAAGGCTAGGTTTTTGAAGTCTGAGTTGAGTTCATAGAGTTGGCAGGTAGAAACACTGGCCTGTTAAATTTGTAAATGACATTAGGCTTAGAAGCTCTTCAGAGGCAATAATCATATTGTATTTAAGTTGCTGGACAGTGAATAGTAACATTTAGATTGAAGTACCTCCTTGAACATACTAGATCTTTTCTAAACCTAAGACAGTCCTTTCCCTAAAAGCACACTGTAAAGATCAATTTCCAGGCTGGCTTTTCTTTGAGGAGTGCTCTATAGTTTCTAAGTTCACAGTAAGGATTACATTCTCTTCGTGGAACTTAAAAGACAATTTGAGGTAAAATAAAGTTTGAGGAATTAGTTTTACTTATCATTACCTACTGTTTGCAACTTAATGGAAATCTTCCTTTCAGTGAACATCAACGATTCTGTGTGTGGGTTTAATAATTGCCATCTCTAACATTTGTTTAAAACGTTGGGCATTTAGCCTTCTTGCTGAACACTCATAACTCCTCCTAAAGTTAATGGCAGCTGAGAAGAGTCAGGATGTTGCGCGACTGAGCCTTGTGCTGTCTGACCTTCCTTGTCCTCAGGAGTGCTCGGAGTGCAGGCGTTGCCTAATCAAGCCCTAGTAGTTCAGTCCATCTACACTGTTACCAGCCGCAGGCGTTGGCAGTGTGATTGTGGTAATGCGAGGTAGTTAACTACTAACTTCACAGACAAGATCACCAGAGCTGCTTGGCTCTGATTTTTTCTCTCCCTTTTTCACCAGAGTTTATGTAACCAACTATGCACCTGTTACACGGAAGAGGAAGGCAAGAAATTTACCAGGGAAAACAATGGTAAGAAAATTCACTGAGGGTTCTTTCAGTGAATTCACATTCACTGAGAGTCTTTCCCGGTTTTATGAAATGTTGTGTGTAAGAAAATGTTAACTGATCTCTCTTTTTTAAAAGCTTATTGAGAATCTAAGAGCAGCTAATACAGATTTAGAAACAATGGCCTTTGAAATTCACTACCCTATTTTTATAAGACATGGAGGTTTAGGAGGATTTGTAATATATAGTATAACAGATTTAATATGCATTCATCACAGTGTGGTATCTGTTGAATCATCTAACACATTCAAGGAGGTACTTTAATATGAATGTTATTAATCCCTGTCCAGAAACAGTAATAAAATGCCATTATGATTATTCCCTCTGAAAAACTTCTAAGCCTAATACAATTCATAAGTTTGAAAGGCCAGTGTTTCTACCTGCCAAATCTATGAACTGAACTTTAAACTTTTAACTATGAACTAAACTTTAAAAGCCTATCTACCAGTAAGTAGATATATTCTAAAATATACTTTTTACTTCAGGTGAAGGTCTTTAAGCTGTCTCTTGCAAATACCTTGAGCAGCTAAGCCGCATGCTGAGATATTGTTAGGTTCTTCTAGGAAGATGCCCAAGGTTAAGTCCATTGCCGTAACCTTGATTTTGCAGATAGCCCCATGGCTGAAGCATGCATTTCCATGCTTCATGCATGGATGCTATATGCAGCACTGGGTGCAGTAGTCAAGCCATTAACATTATAACCAGCGTGCAACCAAACCAACCACCGCTACGCTCCTGCTGTGCTGATTCAAGGAGCCTTAGCAGAAGTATGTTGCATGACATGCAACAGCTTGTCTCAGGGGTACTTCAGTAGACTTGCAGGTATACAGCCACTCATTCTGTCAGAAACATCTGCTGGGATTGATGCAAATCTCAATAAAGAAATACATACAAGAAGTTATTTGCTGTGTAAATGAAAAATTTTTTACTAATTTTTACAACACGGGAACTCCTCTATGTATTCAGGAGCTCCATCTGCCGGCAGTATTTGGTAGCTCTTTGTAATCTTTGTTGAATTCTCGTAACACTAAAAGTTTAAAATGTTAGAAAACTTACAAATACTTCTTGTAATATTACTTTTTTACTTGTAATTTCAGGAGCTGCCTAAAAATTTGGCTATTTTTATGCTTTTTTCCAAGAACCTTTGTATCAAATGCTTCAAAACCCAATATTTTACTGATATTGGCTGATGATCTGGGCATTGGAGATGTAGGTTGCTATGGCAATGATACAATAAGGTAAGGATATATTCAGCAAAATAAATTATCCCTTCCTGATGAATTTCAGTGGAAAAAGCACTAATGACACTTAGTACTAGAAAAACCATTATTAATTAATGCCTTTGCCACACCAGACATACATAGTTTGAATTTAACGGATTAATTTATGTAGACACATTTATTTTCAAAGCAGGTAAAAAATAAATGTTCTGCGGTAGTTGCTAGTGGAATAATAATTACACAAGCATGCCTGAGTGGCTTTCTTGGATTTCTACTTTTCAGCAGATACAATCAGAACTTTGTAAATGTGCACATAAACTATATTTTTCTGGTATATATATTTTGTAAGTTACACCAACTCAAGAGTTGAAATACCGAATCCTAACCTCAGTTCTTGATATCCAATAACAACTCTAGCAGGCATGTGATGGAATGACAGCTAAGTTTGTATCATATATTTATCCCTAGTGCAGTTATCAATCTTTATATAAATAAATTTCAATAATCATTGTGTTTATGTGTATACACATTGAGGTTGCAAAGAGAATTATAAATATTAGTTTTCAGTCATTCAAGGTACAGTAAGTTTTAGTTTTATTTCTTAAACTTTAAAAATAACAAAGTCTGCTTTTTGCGACAGATTAAATGGTAATGAAAGCACTTTTTTGGAATGCAAAATATCCTCTGCCTACTCTAACCTACCATCATCTTGCAAATTTTGTTGTCCTGCATCCATTACTGCAATCTTTTATCACTCTGCTGCATAAGCATGTGATATGGGAGGGACTTGAATTACCTTTTATTTCTTTTTTTTCTTTGCAGTTATTAATAAAAACACCTTTGTCCATGGAAAATGCATTTTTAAGAAAAATCAAGGTGTCTTCAAAAATATGTAACATAAAGCTTTCCTAGCTGAGCTGTAGCGTGTGGTGTTATAGTTGCTTCCTCCTTATCAACTAGCATCACCGACCCCTCAATAGTACTTCAAGGTGAATCCAAAATAAATTGGCTACAGACAATTGGGTTATTTGTGGTCCATAGCTCTTGGCCTAGGGGCTCATATGAGGCATACCAGCTGAACCTGGGGGCTGGTTCTTCTGGCATATTCTGAACTCCCATAGTCATGTTCAACAACCTTTTAAGAGCATGGGTTATGAACTTTGTCTCAGTGGCCACCCAGATGGGTGAATTTCCCCATGGTGGTTAGAGGAGGTGATCCACCTCTCTCAAAATCTGACATTTTATAACTCAGATCGTGACATCTGGGGGAGGGACTTATCCCAAACCAACTTAGGATTGCGTGAAAGATCTCCCTGAGGTTTATGAGGCGCTGGCACCTGTTGGCTCTCTTCCAGTGCCCAGAGCTGAAGAAGCTCTGGAGGAGGTAGTTTGGCAGGCAGTGAGGCAGTATCTCCCTTGGGGCCTGCAAACCCATTACCGGATGTGGTTACCCCCATCCTTGATGCCAATGGGAGAGCAGCTGACGTGAGTTGTGAAGATCCCTGATGAACATCCAGCATATCCATGCTGTGGTATCAGGATGGGGAGAATTGCGACGCTAACAGAACGTCTTCGGAGGGCCCATGGCTGGCCACGAGTTCTGTTTCAGTGCTTCCGGTGTGGGAGGATGAATGATAAACATCACAGTATTGCCTGCCACTTCCTGAAGAGCTAGGGAACTCCAGAGGAATCGGAAAAAGAGAAGGAAGCCTCTAAGGGCTCGTACATTTGGCGGTGTGAGGAATGCAATCGGGAGTTCAAAACGAAGAGCCGCCTGTTGCAACATAAGCATCTTTCATGCTCACAAGCCAGGAATGGAGAAAGGATTGAATTGTCTCGTCCGAGACAAAGAGAGATTTGTAAATTTGCTGGTGATGTCCTTGACAAAACTAGGGGCAGTGAGTGGGATACTAAGTATCTGTGTAACACATATTGTCAGAGACATAATTTTCTCTTTAGGACCCCTAACATTGACAGCCTGGCAAAGGAAGGAGTGAAACTTACTCAGCATGTTGCTGCAGCTGCTGTCTGTACGCCGAGCAGAGCAGCCTTCCTCACGGGCAGATACCCCATCAGATCAGGTTGGACTCTCTCTAATGGTTCACTGCAGTTTGTCTAGCCATTATTGCTATTAAAAATACACTTAGATAAACTTTTTAAAGATTCATTAATCTAAGGTTTTCGGGCCTCAGAGAGGAGGGCAAAACTAAAGATGACTAGACTTATTGGTTGTTTCTATGAGAAAATCCCCGCATTAAATACCTTTAATATAGCTAAATAACAACACAGAGATAGATGACAATCCACGTAACAGAAAGCACCTAAAGGTAGAAGCATGAAGAAGGAAATTGTACAAGCACACTGTATCCCATGGTATTAAGATTATAATAAGCAAAGGAAAGCATAGTATCCTGACAGACATTTTCACAGTGAAATCTGTCAGACTGTGGAACAGTTATCAACAAGGAAGTTTTAAAACAGTGTAAACAAGGAAATTTTTACTCCAGCCATTCAAAACCGTGATAGAAAACTTCAGCCAGTTTATACGTCACTAATCATCAGTGTAACTCCTCTGGTATGACCCTGACTTGCTAAGGAGTTAAAATTATGAAGAATGTAATCTTGAACTGTAAATTTAGGAAGTATATACAGCTGGCTCTGTAAACTTGCTGTTCTGCCTAAAACTTCTCATGCTTTTTACAACATATTTTGGTAGGACTTTGGTTTTAAGGACAAGATTGCCTAAGGGAGCTATTCGGTTGTCTAAACCTAGGCATCTTAGTGCCATTTTAGACGCCCTAGATTACATGAGATATCTGTGTTGGACTAGCAGATATGACATAAGACTTGCAAGAGACATCCTTCTGAAAGCCAATCAGAATAACCTAGGGCATATAAAATGGCTTATAATAAAGTACTAGGCTTAAGGAACTGAATCTCATGCTTACATTCCTTAGAGAGAATAATCTGAAAACAGAGGAAACGATTTGAACTATTTCAAAACTGTTTTTGCTCTCTAGGCATGGCATCCAGCACTGAAAGGCGTATTCTTTTTTGGAATGGATGTTCTGGTGGTCTCCCACGAAATGAAACCACTTTTGCCAGAATACTGCACCAGCAAGGTTATTCAACAGCACTTGTAGGTATGAGACATCGTAATTTGACACCTTTTCATTGCTTGTTATTCAGATGAGGCTGTTTCCATAAATACTTTTTTTTGCCAAAATGTCTAGGATCAGCTAAACTAGAGTTTCTTGCCTGCACAACTTTCAAAAGACAGCAAGGTTTTTAGAATCCCATCCACAACCCCCAATATCTTGGCAGCATATCTGATAAATCCAAAATGAAGATATGTGGAATACACAGATATACACTGCAAACAGATATAAATGCAATAGAAAAAAAAATTATTTGCTCAGTACAGACTGCTTCAGGAAAAAAAACACAGAAATATTAACTGATCTATTAAAGCAGAAAAATGTCTGCCAGTTGGTACTCAGACCCTACAGTGATCCTAATTGTGTCTGATAGCTGGATTTCTGTACTTAGGCATCCTGCTTATTATCACAGTTAAGACCCTAAAAGGACCTTCATTATCTTCAAAAAGCAACTCAGCTAGGTGAGACAAAAAAGCTGAAAGAGTCCCATTCACTTCAGTGGGTTTGGGATCAGAACCCATGTTCAAGAAGGAAAATTGTACTAAATCTTTGCTAATTTTGCCTGAATAGCAATTAAAGGATGTGCCCTTCAAGCACCTCTCATTTTTAAACTCTTTTCCATGTTGTCAGAGATGTTAGGTGCTTAATTGTAATTACTGTGAATTTCAGTGCTCTGCTCGGGTCCTGCACTCTGAGGTGTATTTTAGTTCTTAAACTGTGGATTGAAGTGAGTCTTAGTGATGTACTGGCTTCACAAAAGCCTGTGCAAAGGGGAGAACTTGCCCTAGCTCATTACAGCCTGGTTTAGATGATGCTATAAAATACATCCATATACATGAGCACAGATGTGGATAGCAGTCCTCAGAAGTTATTTATCTGACTAATAGCCCCTAAGCCCATGGTTACAGACTGTCTATCCTTCAGTGTCAGAATAATTACACTGTTCTGTAATATGACTTCATTAAGGTTACTTATCAGTATATGATATGATCATTCCAATTGTACTGGACAATTAGAATGGCCTATTTTTGCTACTTATTTTAAGATAAATAAAGACACATAAAGCCAATATGTATGCCCTCTTGCTGAAATTTCTTCCTGAATGTGAAGGTCGCATTGAACTTTGCAAATTAGCTCATATTATTGAGCTTAACTGCTTCTTTTGGCCCAAAGGATTCCCCTGTGCTCTCCCCTCCTCCCCTGACCATTAATGGAAGGCTGAGTCATCATACTAAAATAAAAAGCACCAAATATCACAGCCAAATTTGTTCTCATTCAGAAAGGCCTCTGAGCTGGGCCAGTTACCCTATGTGGAATTTTTAATTGAGATAGGTGAGGAAAACCAGCTGTTGTAGTCAGATAATGCCAGCATGTGTGATCGCTGCCTGAGAGCCTGTCCACGTTCCACACCTATTCCTCCCCTGGCTGGGCCACCAACCTGTTACAAAAACAGGCAGAAGGACCCAGGAGTAATGCCTTTGGATCTGATATCTTTGTTTTATATTTTCAGGAAAGTGGCATCTGGGTGTGAACTGCAAATCCCGTTATGATCACTGCCACCATCCTTTAAATCATGGCTTTGATTATTTTTATGGCATGCCTTCTACCCTTTTGAATGAGTGTCAAGGCACAGATGAACCTGAACTAGCCAAGTCTTTGCAATATACCTATTGGCTGTATACGCAGATAATCATCCTTGCAGTGCTTACGCTTCTAATTGGAAAACTTACCAACTTATTCTCAGTAAAATGGAAAATAATCATATGTCTGGCCATCTCTGGTTTCCTGTATTTCGTTTCCTGGTTCTCCAGCTATGGGTTCACCAAGTACTGGAACTGTATCCTGATGAGAAACCATGATATCACTGAACAACCAATGAAGCTAGAAAAAATCACTTCTAATATGCTTAAGGAGGCAGTTTCATTCATTGAAAGGTAACCAACAAAAATCACATTACTTTTTAATGATTTTTTTAAATGATATTATTGCTGTGTCATACAGCACCAGGTTGTCAGGTGGTATACTGAACTAGCCATTCCTCATGCTGGCTAGCATCAGTTTGCTGGGTTTGGATGTCCCTGTAACTGTTAGCATCCAACTGCTATCTTTTGCCTTACACGTAGTTTGACAGCACCTCAGGAAAGGGAAGATGATTCTGTTCTGTTCAGGAATTTTTCACGTAATACAAGGGGTCCTGGTCAAGGACTGGGCCTTCTGGTGGTAGGCACACAAAAATGGTCCTGGCTTGATGGATGGACTGTCATATGAAGTGCTGCAGGTTAATATTTTACAACGGGAGTGATATTGAGTTTAGTTTTGTCTTGCCTTTTTTTCCAAAAGTCTTCTTCCTTTACCCTAATGTTCATAACCTCAGCTAGAACTTAACTAAGCATTTAATACTCAATTCTGTCACATGTCAAATCTGGCCATATCCATGATTAAGATTATACCATTTCTGAAAGACTTTATTTCTGACATGAAATTGGGAGTTGGAGAAATCTCTTTTCTGTAAAACTTTGACTATGGATAATTTCAGATGTCTTAGGGTATCCTGCCTGCCTTCTAGCAGCCATCCTTTAAGGGGTATAGTTCCCCTGTGGGTCCAGTGTTATATCTGCCAATTCCACGAGGATGTGTCAGATGCTCAGTGACGCCCATGTTTAAATTTAAGCAAATGAATCCTGTTCCCCTTGTCACTGACAGTATATCAGTCTTTTGGCTGTGAACTTCCAGATATATTTATTTAACATTCTACACATGTCTAATTTAGAACCAGAAAAAGCCCATTACTGTTTTCGTCTCAACAGAGAACCAAAATCTTTAACATGAGCTTTAGTCCTCTCTGTGTCCCAAAACCTCAAAAAAGCAAAGATAGTGGAATCCAAAAATTTTATTTTAGATGCTAATTGCTACCATGTCACTGCTACATTTTGAAGGTTTTTTTTTTTTTAATATTTTGTTCGGAGTAATAGTTTTCAAAGAAATGACTACTCTTATTTTCTTTGATTTCAGAAACAAGCATACACCGTTTCTTCTCTTTGTTTCCCTTTTACATGTTCACACTCCTCTTGTTACCACAGAGAAGTTTCTGGGAAAAAGCAGACATGGCCTATATGGAGATAATGTAGAAGAGATGGACTGGTTGGTGGGTGAGTGGTCTTCTTCAGTAAAATCCTTCCTTTATTTGACTGTGGAAAAGAAATTAAAAAGGCGGTTACAGAAGTCTCTATTTATATATGACAAAAATCAGTGAACTTGCCCTGGATATACAGCCAGGTCCAAAGACGGATGTTCCGTTACTACGCTTCTTTTTTCTGTTCTTAAGATAGAAGTGCAACCTATTCTTGTGAGCGTTTGTTCTCTCTTTCTCTTCTTCAATTAACACAATTCTGTACTGCACTCTGATAAATTCATAACGGTGTTAAATGCAGTCTAATAATCCATTGTGTGCTTTATCATGTTATTAATGAATATGTGTGAGATTTCCCTAGCTCCCTTTTGTTAAAAAATTACCAGCATCTTGTTTCAAAAGTTGTACCTGGTGCTGCTGCGGACTTTTACATCAGATGGTCATTGTTTTGTGTATTTTTTCCTTTTTATTGAGGAATAATCCTGGGGGCAGAAAACAGAATTCAGGACTCCTCCCTCCTAGCCAAAAGCCTGAACTAAAAAGCTGTGGAATTTCACTTAGTAGGTTAATTAAATTTAAAGACTTATTTGCACTTAGAGCCTGGAATTAGACCTGAGTCTTAATTTTTAGTTCCTTTCTGCTTCAGTAAGAAGAAGGAGGTAGCCACTATTTGCATTTACAAATAGTAAATGAATGCCCTGCAGCCTAAGTATTCACCTCCTGTCCAGGACAATATTCTGAAGTTCCCTGTAATTCTTCTTCCATAACCATGTTTAGAAAATTATATTTTGTGAGCAGCCCAATTGCTTGTGATGGACAGCCTGAGAACCCCTTCAAGATCTAGCCCAACGAGAGGACTCTGACACTCATCTTCCTAATTTTTGGGCGCTGATCAGCTTCAGGCACAAGCTGCTCAAACAGATTTGGTAGCAAAATTGCAAGTGCATAGGAAATGCATAGGCTAAACAGGATGGAAGCTAGTGACGACAGAGGTCTTCAGGGTCAAACATCTAAGTTTGAGGGTCTAATCTGGAACCAGGATGCCTAGATTCAGTTCAAATTCTTTGTTGGGCAGGTGTCTATTTTTAGGCAAGGGCGCTAAGTAACTTTACCAAGGAGACACAGGAAGTCTTTAGAGCAGAACAGGTTAGGTAAATATCCTGCTCACTAGCTCATGCTTTTCCTTACGTACCTCAGCTTTTGCTGTTTCCTCTAGCTACAGAACCTGTTTGTGGTGAAGATACTTCCATGCACTGGATAGTGAGGAAGAACAATCACAGATAAATCGTACTCTGTATAAACTTTTGTTGCTAGTGGTACCAAAAGCATTATGAAATTGGGTTTGAATTGCACACTATGGATTTTTTACCACAGACAGCAGGAAATGATTTTGGTTGATAGTATGCAGCCTGATCTGAGTCTGTGTTTAGTTCACGGTGAGAACAGAGAGAGAGCAGTTTTCTGCAATTAAGAAACTAGACAGCACTATTATTCATAATTTAAGCACTTTCGAGATGCTTGGGGCTACACAATGAAGACAGTCATCAACTCCAAGAATTTACAGTGTAAAGATGACAGAGTATGCCAAGCAGCTTGAATAAAGGATCATTAATTCAATTTATTTTCTAGCTGTTTTTAATTTCTGTTTTCCTTTTTGTAGACACCACAACCAAACTTGGAGCACTTTTATCTGCTTGGCATTGGGCCCTTATTACTCCTACAGAGGATGATTTTTCTTTATATTGTTCATGGTACCTCATAACAGAAAAAAAAAGAGGACCTTTTGTCTATATCTTCTCATTCAACTCAATGGAAAGACTCTTCACTATATTTTGACTCAAGTCAGGACATAATTACAATGTTTTACTGTGTCTTTAGGAAGGCTTCTGGATATTATCAACAAAAAAGGCTTGAAGAATACCACATTCATTTATTTTGCATCTGATCATGGAGGATCCTTGGAGGCTCACAATGGAAATGCCCAGCTAGGTGGATGGAATGGTATCTATAAAGGTAAGGCTTCCTCTTAAAAATAAAATGATATAAAGTATGTCCAGATAGACTATATTCACAAAGCTATATGCTCCATTGCAATCTTGTATTGTAGGGCTAGAGTGACTTCAGGACATCAACTAGTCATCCTCTAGCCTGTAGACAGGATCACCTTCACCAAAGCTACTCCAGATAGCTATATTGTCCAGTAATTCCCCAACTATACCAGTTTTTGTTGTCTATGATACTAGAATTTTTTTTCCTAGTATCTAGCCTAGATTTGACAGTCATCATGGTCATTAATAACTACTTTCTTGATAAGGTTTTCCAGTTTCTCATCTATCATATAGGTGTTTCATCTAGACTATGTTTCTATAATTGGCTTATGACAGTGTTGAAAACTATATGAAAATGAAGATCTATGATATCTCTTGCTTCCCCTCCATCCATATACTATGCTGCTTTGATTTAGTTACATCCAATAATTATGTTTATTTGACATGAATTAGTCTTAACAGAACTGTTACTCATATGCTTGTTCCCTTGCAGGTGCTTAAAAATAATACAATTATTCATAGCGGAATTTATTCAAGGAGTCTATTATTCTCTCTCTCTTTTTTTTCCCCCAAGATAGGCATCACAGCTTGCTTTTTTCTAGTCTGATACTTCAGCCATCCTCCACAACTTCTCAAACATAACCTCTAGCATATCTACAATTCCATCAGCTAATACTATAAATGCTCCAAATACTCATCAGGTTTAGGCCATGTGAAAATATCTGCTTTATACTATACTATATGATATATTATTATACCATTTTACCCTTAGTCAGGGCTGATATCTTACCTTATGGCCAACAGCATTAACTATGCTAGTTACCTGGTAATAGTTCATTTTTAATTCAAAGGCTTATGCAGAAGCATCATTAAACATTTCAGCTTTCTTTCCTGGCTTTCCTTTCCCACTGAACAATAATTAGCCATTTTCTTCATTTTTCCTCATGCTACTATTCATTTTTATTTCCCATCACTACGTGCCTCTCATTACAGGATTTTGGCCTTTTTCTCCCCACAAACAGTCTCCTAGGAGTTCTTACCTGTTAGCTCTTTAGCTTTGTTGAAGTCTGCCTTTCTGGAGTTCGTTCTTTTTATTTTCCTGTTTTCCTCCTCGTTGTCTTTAGCCTTTCACATGGTCACTCTCACCCAGCATACTTTCTATGTTGACATTCTCCATCAATTCTCTCCTTATTATTGAATGGAAAAGCTCCCTTCTGCTTGCTTTCAACACCACCTTTATCGCATATTAGGAAATTAAGCTGGTCTTCCTCATGGAAGAACGTGGAGGAGATACCATAGATTATAAAGCCCATTGCTGGCTGGCATTTCTCTCTTTTCTCTGTCCCATTTGGATGAACTCCTTTCAGCTTTCTCTGTGCTTCGCTGCACGCAGTGAACTCAGGGAGTGCTATTTTTGCGTGAAAGTCTACAGAAACGCAGCATAAGCTGGAGACCAAACCCATAAAATTTTTATGACTCCTGATGAGATTCTTGAATCTGGATTGAGATCCTCAGAACCTATCCCTTCGCTTGCCCAGGCCCATGAGCAAAACCCTTCAGGCTCCCATGCCCAGCATAGCCACCATGACATCTCAGGCAGTTTGGCACATATTCCACAATGAAGCCTAAGACCAGTTCCCATCATTTATTTCCCTACAGAGGAAGATTCAGGTGCTTTGACCATGCTTAGCATCAAAATGCACTTTGTCTGTCTAGTGTGAAGTTACTTGATGAGCCACACAAGCAGTGTTTGGCACACCTTGAATTACTCTGGATCTCACCCATTAATGGTTCTAAATGTTCAATTAGCTTTCAATTCCAGATATGAAGTTTCCAGACAAGTAAGACCAAAAAAGGCTAACGGGTTCATTTCGTTTTTTTGTATAGCTCAGAATCTGAGGCTATTCACTTCTATTATCCTACAACAAGTATAGCTGTAACAGAGAAGAAAAGTAAATTTGATTAGATAGAGAGTTCAGTATGACAGGGCTATGATGAAATTATGCCTGCTTAAAAAGGAGGCAAGTAAAAGGAGATATAATATCTGTTTAGAAATAAATAACAGAAAGGCATTCCCATTTATCCTCTCATAGAGGCAGAACAATATTCTGTTTAGATAGAATAGCCCGTCTAAACTAAAAGGCAATGAACTGAAAACGAACTACTACAAAAAAGTAGTTTATTTAGTAGTTTACAGAATTCACTACATTAGTAGTTTATAGAATTCACTGCTGTAAGATGTTATTATTGTTAACAGTCAATAAAAAAATAAAATAAACAAAAAATGGTAAGCCAAGCATATGGTTAATGAGAACATCCACTACAAAATAACAAACCATGAGATAGTAACCTTTATTGTACATAGCACAAAGGTTATTGCACAAGTGGTTGGACTTGCTTTATAATCCATCATGCCATCCTGTCAGCCTTTTATACTAAGGTCTGGGAACCTTGCCTCTCAGCTGTTAGCTATGAGTGCCATCTCCTCCATAGCAAAGACCTGTGTTACCTAGCAGAGCCGAAGAGGTTAGTTTAAATTACCCTCCGCAGCTACTGGCTTATTAGCTGAACTAATAAGCTAGCTTCAAGTTTTGCTTGCCAATTTTCCTTTTTTTTTTTTTTTTTTTTGCAATCCTTTTCAGCAATGACTTGGCTTCTCTGCTGTTGATAGGAGAAACAACAAGGCAGAGCAGAGGTTATGTACGTACCTGAGCTTCATATTTTGCAATTTTTGTTTTCTAACTGGAGCCTTAACTTTGGGTTGTTGAATATCAGAAATCAATATCAGATATCAGATTGAGGTTGGACTAGATGATCTCCAGAGGTCCCTTCCAACCTAAACGATTCTGTGATTCTGTGATATCAATATCTTTAACCACATTGCTTCATTAATATGCCCATCCTTGACATTAATAATATATATATTTATAATAAATGAATGGTTCTCACTTTGAACTAATATTGAAAGCAATGAATATTTTGAGTTATAAGACAGCCAATGCATGGGGGGAAGGGCTGAATTTAGGATAAAATTAAAGGAATTCAGAGGATACCAAGAAAGAAAGACTCTGGGACTACCTCAGGGTTATTTCAATAGAAATGCAGATGGAAAGTCTTCATCCCTGCAGAATATTTAGAGAGCTTCCCCATTTACTGTATAGGTTCTGCACTCTTCATTTTGGGATCACCTCAAACCATCCCTGGGATTATAAACTCCTGGAGGGCCATCAACCATTATCCTAATTGCCCTCACTGTACTCCAGGTTTGCAAATCATTTTGTAATGTTCCTGCTACCTGTAATTTTGAACCATTTGACAACCAGGCTTGCCCTGTGTTAAGCCTCCTTTCCTAGGCATCAGGTGGGACTGCAATCTGTCTTCCATTGACATTGAGTCAGATTTTGCTTTTTATTAATAACAGACCTTTTGCCTCTGCATGTTCTTAGGCAGTGGAGAGATTATTCTCATATCTCACATGAAATTGTATGGGTCAGAAAGTCTTTTCTCATGCATCAGAGGGTGGAATTGTTCCTCTTCTGCCAGAAGTGCTGCTTAATGGTAGGTTGCCATGTGTGCCACAGAAGAAAATGGTGTAATGTAAAGAGAGTAATAATACTTACTTGTGAAGAACAGAGTTTGCACTATGGTTATTCTGTTCCCTGTTCTCCAGGGTTTAGTGTATTTACTTTAGAAGGATTCGAATATTCTGAAAGGTTTAAAACCTTTTTATTAGAAAATTATTATGCACATATAATATCTTTCATTCTTATCTCATCTCTCTAACAGGTGGAAAAGGAATGGGAGGCTGGGAAGGAGGGATCCGTGTCCCAGGAATAATTAGATGGCCAGGGCTGTTGCCTGCAGGCATAGTTATCAATGAACTGACAAGCCTCATGGACATTTTCCCAACAGTGGTTCAGCTGGCTGGAGGTGCGGTGCCTCAGGACAGGTGCAAAAGTTACTTCATAAACCGTATTTGCTCCCCTTTCTTGATTTAGAGAGAATATCATGCATCCTTACACCCCCAGGTTAAATTCTGCTTGTTTCTAAGCCAGATAGATCTCTAGCTTTCTTTCTGCTTAGCTTTCCCTGTCTTGTGTGATTTTATGGAAAAGGCAAAGGAAAACAGTATGTTTTTAAAGGTGTCATTTATCTGAAGCCCATTTTCTAATAACTGAGATCACCTGGTTAACCGGATCACTGGGATGGAACATTTCGCAAGTCTGTTCCTTTTATTTTAAGAAATTTTTATTTTACTTTCCATGAAAAAATCCACAGAGATTCACAAGGCTGGTTGGTCTTGTTAGAGTAAATATGCTATGCTCTTTCTAAGACTAGGAAGTTGGGTGTAAGGAAGGGACATGTGGCCTGCCTTTGGATGCCAGTAGGGGAAAAGTAGGCTCCTCAGTAGTAAGCAATTCTGAGCATCTGTTAGACTCCCTAAAGAACAAGTGAGAGAAAGGACTTGTTTGAGGTGTGATGGGTGGGTAAGCCATTTGAGCAAAAAGCGCAAAAGTCCCTGTGTTGGGTAACTAAACCTGCAGTTCGTCAATTAAGTAAGTGGAATAACGAATAATGAAACTCTGAGCTCACAGAGCTATTGGTGATTTCAGTTTCAGGCAGCCAAGTTTGAAAGGGTGAACCTTGCCTTCTCTGTGGTTATCACATACGTAATGTGTGCTGCTGTAAATGCACAAATTGCCAGTAACTGCTAATCGTTTGTCTCCACCCATCCGCACAATTAAAAATCTCAGGGCTCATTAGCTAAATAGCAGCTTGTGTTATAAATGACGCTTGAAATCCTAATGCCACATATGTGTGGGGGGTGAGTATTGCTCACACTCCAACTGCAAACTGAAATTCTTAAAACAGTTAAGTGACTTCCATTCTCTCCACCAGGGTAATTGATGGACGCTCCTTGCTGCCTTTACTGCAAGGGACAGTTCAGCACTCAGAGCACGAGTTCATGTTTCACTACTGTGGTGTGTTTTTGCATGCAGTGCGGTGGCACCAAAAGGACAGTGAGTATAAACATTCCCTCTCCAGCATATCAGAGGAGATGATGTAATGGCCTCTAGTATCAAACAGAGTAACAAGTAAAAAGAATATTTAGGGTAAGTTTATAGCCTCAAAGTCTTAAGTTTTTCTGCAAGATGCAGAATGGCTTGGATTTTAGCTCTCCTGCTTTCCTTGAGATGAAGGGTTTTGCTTAATGGGTAGCATGAAGAAGCTCCATATTGTTGCAGTGTAACTATTGCTCTTGCTGTGAAAGTATTTGCTATCAGGTTTAGTGTAAGATTAGAAAAAAGGAACTGCACACACAGTGTCTTTATCTTAAGCAGTAGTTTGTTTATTTTCAGTAGTTCCATGGGGGTGTTTTTTCAGTTTTTCAGCTGTGGAATTAGGCAAGCTGACAGCAGCTGTAATACTTTGCTTTGAACAAGCACCCAATTTTTGGTGATGTCATCCTTCATTAAGGTACAATTGAGAATGGACTAGTGACTGGTAGCTGTATCCTAATTCCTGTCCCAGCATCGAGGATGGCATTTATGTAACCAAATAAACACAAGCGTCTGCATCTGAGGTCATTGCTTTATTGTCACTGAAAAAGATGCTTATAGAGTGTGATTCACCTCCTCCTGGTTAAGACATCTGGGCCAAATCAGTCACCCCTAAAAGTGCCCGTTTCTCTCCACTGGCTGTAAAGGGAGCTGAGGCTGACCAGATCAGATAGGAAAATCTTCCTCGTATTAACTTAAAATTAGTTGAGATGAATTGCCCCTTCTGTGATTGAATGATGTGAGAGTATGATTAAAAGTTGATGAATTAGTGGTGATCCTGCACTTCATTTTTTTTTTTCATTCTGCACAACTGGAGATATGCAGAAGGCAGTGCAGTAGGCTGTATCTCTTCTTTTTCCCATCCTTTAGAGGCTTGAATGAGCCTCTTTAATTTCCATTTTGTTTTCCCTTTCTATGAAGTGAGAGAAGAAACACTGAGTTCTTGTGAAACTGCAATTAGATAATAGTTACAAAATGATAGGGCATTCTGCCATCTCCAGCTGTTCAAATTTAGCTGTTGTTACAATGACAATAAGCTGACTGTTTGAAGAATATTGTAAGTACTGACCTTTTGTTGAGAGCATCTTAGGCAGCCCAGTGAGAAATCTCTCTTATATTAGATTGTTAACTGAGTGATCTTTCTCATACTAGTTGCATCTTCTTTATGATGCTTTCTGATACCATGATTAATAGTGTCAAGCCGAGAATCTACTTGTTTTTCAAATACCCATTGGATATTTGAAGACCACAAAACTTATTTGTCCTTCTAAATGTTTCAGAATAGACTTCTCTATTCGCCTAGATAAACACACACACACACACACACACACACACACACACTAGGATAATGACTGAGAACTTTGCAGTCTTTCATACTGGCAAATAAATATGTCAGGGTTGCAACACCAAACTTTTAGTCACACTGTCACTTTAACCTTGGGGTTAACACCTAAGTCATCGATGCACAGGTGGTGTCTGGGTATCACTTACCAAATTCCACAAAAGCATGGCTCCTGAGCTTGGCTGATGGGGAATATGAGGGAGAGGGAGAAGGACTAAATCAGTGAGACTGTGATGTTAGGTGCTGTGGTGGAATTTCATTTTTAGGTTCTTGATCCCCAGAGATAAATTTGGGTACTTCTTCCAAGGGAAAATGTGTAAGTCATAGAAGTCAATACAGTACTTGAGTTAATCCCTCCAGGGTGAGACCCAGAGCAACCTGCATACTGCTCAGAGGGAGATATGGGGGAGGAAACACTGAGTAGAGGTTTTTTTCTGAAATCTTTTTCTTCCATTGGCACAGACACTCCTCCCCAAGTGCTAGGGAAGGACTTGAGGAAAGTTTCCTTGGGAACCCCCATCCTCTATTTTCTCCAGAGGAAAGAGGCTTACAGAATTTTTGTCTTAGAGCTGAGAAAGGGATCGTTTTTTCTTTTAAAACGTGGGCAAAAGGGATGCCATAACTGCCTTTCTTCTACCTATTAGCTCAGTGGCCAGACCTTTGCAACCCTATAGTATCTTCCTCTGGCCACAGAGCATGTTGGGTGTAGCATGGAGAACGAAGGGAGTTGAGCAAAACTACTTGCAGGGCTGGTGCACAGCAGAGCCACAGCTAGGCAGTCTTGGTCTCTGCAGCTTGCTTTGACTTGCCCCAAACAACCGTGTCTATGAAAGGAAGTGATGCCAGTGAAGGAATCACATTTGAACTGCCAAACACCAACAGTTTAGCTATCCCTAGTGGTTAGGCACCTCAGGAGAGAGGGTTCAGTCCCTTCCTCTGCTTGAGCAGAGGCACATTCATCACTCCTAAAGTGATATGCCCAAGTCATCAGGATGTATCTCTATTGCTCCTGTGGAAAGTGAGCCTCTCCAGCAAGTATAAACCCAGATTCATTGAACCAATGCCAAGACTTAACAATTTGAGCATTCAATTTTGTTTTGGGGCTACCTGCAGTCTTTGCTGGCAAGACTTCACTTCTACAAAGCACATGAGCATGGTAGAACGCAGAAACAACCCCAGGAGGAGCAGCTGGTGCTCTTGCCCTGATAAGCGCTTCTAGCAGGCAGTCCCTGAGCCTCACGCTTGAGCGTGCTTCACCTTTGCTCGCTGAAGGAGGGAAACGCCTCACAGGGGAGTGCGGTTGGTGGTGTGCTGTGCAGTGCTTACACATATGTACACACATATAGGCGTCCCTCTGGCCTAACTTTCACGTAGACCAGAGGGGCAGGTATGAAGCTGTGATTTTTTGAATGTACGTTGCTACAGCCCCCCTCCCCCCCCCGCTTCCCCGTTTTTTTTTCAGCAGGCGGCAGCTCGCGCGCCTCGAGGGGGCGTTGGCGCGAGTCAAACACTAAACGAAAGCTTCGCACACGTTTTAACAAAAATAAAGTTGCCTGGCTCTTCTGGTCTGCTTAAGTCCCCGATTTTCAAGCTCCAGTTCTGAAGTGCCTTATATCAAAGGACACCCAAATCTGTAACGGTGCTGAGAGAGCGTGGCCCTGGCCCTCTGCAGGCTGAGGGGTGTTAGCCTGCCAACCTGGACCCCCTCCAGGGAGGCATGGGGGGGGCACAGCCACCCCTCTGCGTGGAGCCCAACCCAGCTCGCTTGGCTGGGAGCCCTCACCTGGCCCACAGCACCAGCATGGCTGTGAGCACAGGAGGGAAACATCCAAAACAACCACATCCAAAGGAGGATTCCTTGACTTTTTTTTTCCCCCCCAACTGCAGTAACTTCATTTCCAATTTGTTTTTAATGCCAGTGTCCACTTAGGCCAAACCTGAGCTCACATCTGGAGGTTCACTGCTAACCCCACCAAGGCCAGGCATGGCCCGCTCGCCAGGAGTGCTGTGGCGTGGATTAGCCCACAATCCCACAGTTAGTTAGCACGCTGCGGTAATACGAGTTACTGTTTCAAATATATGTCTAATACTCAGCAGGCCAGAGAGTGAGACTGACAACTACACTCCAGCTCTCAGAGCTGTCACTGGAGATGTAAGAGACCGAGATTCAACTAACAGCACAGTTCCAAGCTGGTCACACTCCAGAGTTGCCAGGAGCTTGGAGCAACGGGCACAAGCTGAAATACAGGACGTTCTGGCTGAACATAACGAAAATCTTCTTTACTGTGAGGTGACTGAGCACCGGAAGAGACTGCCTAGAGAGGTTGTGGAGTCTCCTTCGCTGGAGATATTCAAAGCTCGCCTGGCCATCCTGGGCAACGTGCTCTAGGTGACCCTGCTTGAGCAGGGAGTTTGGGCTAGATGATCTCCAGAGGTCCCTTCCAACCTCAGCCACTGTGTGATTAATATCTGCTTGGCAGAATAAGCTTTGTCCAGCAGCAGAGAGTCCCAGAGAACCTTCGCTCGGAGAACGTTCCTGTTGCAGGAGCTCATACAGCCTCCATTCAGACTGCTGCACCTCCTTAGTGGAATGGTAAACGCATATTCCATCAGCAGAGGAGGCTAGGGCACTTCAGACTGAAGAACTACTGTTCGCCCGCCCTCCCTTTTACCTTTTGACTTTTGGCCCAGCATATTTATAACTAATCACAATCCCCTAATGGAATATGCACTGAATTACATAGGGAGGCAGCAAAACAAATCAACCTTCTTAACGCAAGCTAGAATGAAAAAAATATGTATCTTATGATACCCATATCTTTATAAACATCAGCCATTAAGGTGTTGACAAGCCAGCATATTTAAAACACAAAATTCAGCCTGTCAAAATGTGGCTAGGTGAAAGACTGGCTAATGAAATATTACTGTTTGGCTAAACTTTTAGCCAAGATTGAAATTCTGGTCCTTTGTTCTGACTGTCATTCCTTTCTACTGGGCACGTAGACTTTTTAGTCTGTTTTAGTCTTCTCATAGTTGTGCTCATTTAAAAGTTTATCACATTCACTTTACATATTTATTGTCTGTTCATTTCTATCTATCTATTGCACAGACCAGATACAAAGCCATTGTGTCTTGATGTCATCCAGGCAGGACTCATCAATTAAGCCCTTCACTGAAGGCAGAAGAATGCTTTGTCTTTATGTTAAAGAGTCCTTTCCTCTACTACAGCACAAAAAGGCTTATTAGTGACAGGCTGTTTCTTTCTGCTCGTTAAATTGATTGATTGTTACCAGATGGGTTTGGGAGATGTTTGAATTGAAGAAGCAGGTTTTCTTTCCTTTGGACATATTACATTAACATGTTGCCCTAAAATTCACATACATCCTTCAAATTCTGTCAGAGCTAATTCTGTTCAAGTTTTATATCCCCCTTTGCATCTCGGAGATGACTGAAACCCTGCTAGTTCCATCAGTGCTGATTTCTACTACCACCTTTTTTTTTGGATCTCTCTTAAACCTGGCTGTCTGCTCAGTAACACAAGTTAATTACAGGAAGTGTCACTGCATCCTTGGCTATAAACTAATAAGGACCTAGCTGTCTCTGACACTGCAACTCCAGTAATTATTTGCAGCTGTGGATGTAAAAATGTTGCAAAATCAGAATAATTCTCCCCAGATACTCACTTCTCTGAATTGCTGTATAGTATATAGGCTTTGAGGAGTTCAGCTCAACTGTTACAGGAGAAAGAAATAAGTGACTACTTTGTTTTTTCTGAATGCTGACCACATGAATTCCTAGATATAGCCACAGATAAAAAGATATCTGTCCATCTCTCATTTCTCTATTAAATAGTCATTCTGGCTAAACTATTAATAGCAGAGTAGAGCCACCTAACCAGAAGCATGCAAATGACTCACAGAATACTTTTGCTAACTCTTTCTCACAAATGCCTGTGCTACATGACCAGTAGATACAAAACCTCCATCTCACGCTTGGGGAAGTCTGATATGGCAGATGATGCTTGCATTTTTAGCACATGATAAACATACTTTTAGTCGCAAGACAGAGAAAGGTTAAAGCAGAAGGACCTGGAGCATATCCCAGCCAGTGGCAAAGAACATACATACCCAAACAGAGCTAAGGACTACATATTCATAGTAAGCCATAAGGAACTGTGAGCCTGTTTCCTTTACAGAATCCGGTTTCTACATCCTTCCTCTCACATTTTCAGAAATGGGGACATGTAAATCTATAACATTGTGCAAAAACATTTCAGAACCTTTGAGACATCATCACTCCTCAGGAACCCGGAAGCATAGATTACCAGCAAGTGGAAGCCACAGAGTGAGAATAAAGACAGCCAACTAGTCTGCCACTGGAGATTTTAAAAGATTATCTGAGCTTTAATATTTGTTTTTAGTTTCTCTTTACATTTAAGAAGTTTTTTTAAACTTGTTTACTAACAAAATATGTCCTGATGTGGTTATACATGAAAAAAGAATAAAGCTGCAGCCACCCAGTCATGGAGAACAGCTCACGGCACAACAGAAGGAAGGACAGGTCAGCAGATTCCCTTGAACCAAAAAGAAAATGCTACACAGGCAGAACGAAAATGTCAGCTCTTTGTGGTCAGTGCATTACAGAAATGGCTTCAAATGTTGAACATCCCCTTTCCTCTTCCAGACACAGTGTCTAATTGCTGTCTTCTTGGTGGGCACATCTTCTGCCTCATCTTAGAATGATCTCGCTGTAGTGCTTTCTAACCCAAGAGTGAGGAGTGGGAGGAAAAGGAAAGAAGAAAGGGGAAGGAAAAGCTCCAGTTGAGCTGCATTCCAAATTAGTCCTATAGCCCCTTGTCATTTTTCATCATAAGCCAGACTTTCAGCATAGTCTGCTGTTATTTTCTTCTAATTCTTCAGTGCTGTTTGAATTACAGATTCGTACTTGGAAACCTAGTGTGTCCATACATACAGCAGCTTGCTAAAATGCAAGCTGAAAAGCTGCCATCTAGCTGTGTTCATCACGTTAACTTAAAAACTATACTCTTGATTTTGTTGTTTTTGTGACCTTTAATTAATATCCTGTTTGAAAGCACGCTACCTGAGCATGGAAATAAGTTGTGATCCATTCCTGCCCATGTGCTCTTCTTTGCTCAGGTGTATAGAGCCAAGAGAAGAACCTTCCAGTACCTACACACAGAAATCAGGTGCTACATCCTCTGTTTTTCCCCCAGGGAAGTATGTGGGGTTCCAAATGAACACAGGAAAGGAGCCGAGACTCAGAATAGTAGACCTAGATATCCAGATAGTATATATGGCCCAGCAAGTGCCCAAAGCCTGGGCAGGGCTGTGGGCCATAGAAACGGTTCTGAATCCCTGCCTTTTTGCCAGCTCCCAAAGAAGCTTTTCTCCCATATACAACAACTACGACATATGCTCGCCTTTGGAACAACAAAGCAGATGTAATTTAAAATATAAACCAATCTTTCAGGGACCCTCCCTGACTTCTAATACCATTAAGCTGATAAAATGTTCTTCTTTCATACCAGGTGGCACCATATGGAAAGCTCATTACACTACTCCAGTATTGCAGCCAAAGGACTCCGGAGGCTGTTTCAGAAGAGGAATTTGCCCATGTTTCGGGGATGGTATAACCCATCATGACCCTCCATTGCTGTTTGATCTTTCACAAGACCCTTCGGAGGCCAATCCTCTATCAGCTGACACTGAGCCCTTGTTTGACACCATAATAAGGAGAATAGGAAAAGCTGTAGAAGAGCATCGAAAGACGCTGACTCCAGTCCCACAGCAGCTGTCTCATTACAATAATATGTGGAAGCCATGGCTGCAGCCATGCTGTGGGACATTCCCATCCTGCTGGTGTGATAAAGAAAGCAACAAGACAGAGGATATACTTTAATACCAAAATCAAAGCAGGGCTAGCTCAAAAAAAAAAAAAGCGTTCAAATGACTTCAATCTAAATACAGAGATTTGGTTCAAATTACACTGGAACAGGAGAAAGGGACATTTCTGATGCCTTTTGTTCTGCCTCTTCAATAAGCCTGTAGTTAAAAAAAGACAAAAACCTCTCCAAACATATTCTGCCAAGGGTCAGCTGTATAGTCTGTCCCTTAAGTGCATCATTCTGGATTAAGTGGCCAGATAAGTGAACCAGAATTTCTTTCCTTGCTAGTTTTAAATTCAAGTTATTGATGATAGCAGATCAAACCTTAAGTGCAGTTGTTTATACAGGTAATATGCTTGTTAACGCAACAGGCCTAAGCCCAGGAGGAGATACCACTTCAGGCTGTTTCTTTTTATTATAAAAACCATCTTGTATATAAAAACACAATTGTGCATTTAGTTTGGAACCATACCAAAACACATTACAAAAAACCCCGTCTATTAGACATAGACCCCTACTGACTTACAGCAATCTTTTGCCTCATCTATGCATTTGCTTATGTACCTCATCAGTACATTTATTTGTCACAGTAAGAATTCCCAGGAAAAACTGAACTGACAAATATGTTTACAAATTGGGTAGCTACAGTTACAATCTCAAGTTCAGCACTTCAGTTTCTAGCTTTTCCAAAGTACTAAACCACAGCAATTACTACTGACATGTATTTTCCTTATCAACTTCAATCCTCTCGCTTGTGGGAGTGTTGAAAACCATCATCCAGGAGGACATGACCAGCTGCCTTGACAAGATTGCTCCCAAATATCACAATCAGTGAGATTAACTCAATAAACTGCAAGTCCTACTTTAGTGATAACATGCCTGATTTCATGACAGCTAATTTTCCCCACAAAAAATTGTCTTTGTTTTGGAAGATGGCAGTTTGGTTTCAGTAGAAGGTGTTAAAAAGAAAGTCACTGCACACACTAATCACTTCAGTGTATAGGTCATACCCTGCAACCTACACAAGTGTCAGCACTCTGTGCAGTCATTAGGGAAAGGTAGGGAATTAAAATATCTAATCCCCTCTTGCTGCCTTCAGGTTAACTAAATTCATCTCTCTATATGTAATCCTAACCATGTTCTTGCAGGGTTTTTATGTCTAATCCCATTTTGAAGCAGGGGTTCCTATATTTTCTGCTTCCAAACAGTGAACTGTGTGCCAGAGGTTCGTATTCAAACTTCAAACAAGCCCTCCTGAACAGTGGCTATTCACTCCTACCACATAACTAAAGGTCACCAGAAAGGTAACAAGAGAAAGTAGAAGCAGCACAGCGGATGCTTTAGATGACTTGTTTCCTTGAATTTTTGCAGTAATTTCCAGCAAGCTCCTGACTTATACCCCATATTTAATATGTCACTTCTCCCACCACATTATTTCGTTCTAAGCAGCACAGGTTGTGACCATGATGTAGCACCAAATATGAGTCTCCAGAAAGCTGAATGGGCATTTCTTTAGGTTATTTCCTGTACTACCTTTCCTCTGACTGAAAGGTCACCATGCAAATTATGTGGAAATTATTCCACATAAATCAAAGGGCTAATCTAACAACCAATAGAACAGATTAATGTCAGATTTGACAGAAGTCTCTAAAAATACGTTTTTTCTTACTGCCTGACAGCATTTAAATCTACATCAACATGGCTAAGAACCTGTTAGAAGATGTGACATTTTGCTGTGGCTGACAGGGATTAAAGCCAGAGCAGCTGCATTTCACTGGTTTCACACAAAAAGGAGGTAGCATAAAAGACCATTAATTTGAAAGCCAGTTTGGCCAATTCAGAAATGGAGGAGAAATCTTACTGCTCGGTGGGGAACTAAGCTAGAAGTTCTTTTCTACAGTCATGCTAGTCTGTTAGGTAACATCTATATTGTCAGTTTAGTATAAACCTACTCTCAGATCAGCTTACCCACCACATACAAACACTGTTTATACACATAAACATGCTGAGTCACAGACTAGGCCGTGATTAAAGCGTTTACCAAGAGACAGGAGGGTGTTCAAGCATCCATGCGGCATCTAAGCATAGGTCCAAGGAGTGTCCAACTCCTGCCCTCAGCACTGGTGGTGATATTTGGCCAACAAGAACTGTAAAGGGCAGCTGGGTATCAAGATTTGAAAGGAAAGAATCACCCTGTAAAAAAGTAAACATTAAACATTTGTGCAACACCTCACTCCCCTGAAAGGTGAATTTGTTCAGCTGCCACCTAGAGTCAGATGCTATGGACATCTGTGAATGTACATGCTGTCTTCCTGACATGCAAATACAGATGATTGCTCCTTGGCTGGCATCTGTGGAAAGCCAGAGCATGCCTGCTCTGCGCAACCAATCAGTATGACCTCCTGGGAAATGTATATTTCCTATAAACTAGGGAGAATCTCACTTTGCACTTAAGAGTTGTCCTGGATGCACACTTCTGCATAAAGTGCATAATGCATAAAGAGCTGTTACAAAAACTGTCTGCATTTGAATAATACAGAAAAATAAACAAACTCTTCAGTAAGTTACCCAGGTCTGCTTGAAAAATCATCTGTAATAGCCTTTTTCAAAAAAATTATTAAGATAAGAAGTTAAATGATATGCTTCCTCCCTCCCTTGCCCCCACCTGCATTGTTTCTCCCTTTGTAGGGCAAAAGCTACCCCCACATAAAATCACCTGCTGAGAAAACCTAAGACAACTGGCAAATCTCCAAGCCAGTGTTAACCACAGGAGAATGCGCCCACACATGGTTAAATATAGACACCATAAAGAAGGAGGCAACGCTCTAACAAATGAAGTTTGTTTTTATTGAAAGAGCTGTGGCTGAATTGTATAAATGTTTGACATTCATGTCTTCTGAAGCTGATTTCCAGCTGAATGCTTTGATCATTACTAAATGACATTTAGAATCACTGCATTACACTGACTCAACGGAGCAATTGAGAAGTCTCACAGGGGTGAGACAGTAAGCTTCTAAGAGATCACACTTCACCATGTTTAAAAGTATTACAGACATGTCAGTTTGCTGTTTTCCGGGAACACACTGGAATGTCAATGCATAGACCGCAAGGTCCCATCTTTTGGGAAAACAAAATAATTCTGTAACAGATATAAAATGAAAAAAGTAGTTTGAGCTCAGAGTTTATCCAGCCTGAATTTTCTTGTGGACTGCCTGTATATTTGCAGTATTTACATAACTGCTCCTCCCCGAAAAGGGGGAGGTGGGAGCGTCTCCTTTGTTACTTTGAATTTTGAAAAAGTAAAAGCAAAATCTTTAGCTCAAAGCCAGACTGTAAGTTCACACACATACACGTTCACACACACACACACATATATGTGAACAAGTTTCTAAATTGATCCAGTAAGTTGAACTGAATAAAATTTGGATGTTTTTTGTAGAATATCTTGAATATTCTACAAGTTGGAAGTTGTTGCTTCCAAACAACTTTGTAAAAATCAAATTTATTATCAATCTAGTTTCTTGTTGCTTTACTATATTGTAAAAAAAAAAAAATCACATTTCTAAGCTAAGCGGTGATATTTCAGGTTCTAGATGGCCTTCTTTTCTACCATTTGTCTAAAAGCTGTAAGTAAAACGATTTGAAAAAGAATTTAAGGAGGTGTCAAGAAAAATACATCTTGCAGCTGAACAAAACATGTAACAGATACCCACTGACCACATGCAATCACTCTTGTTCCAAATGAAGTACTGTATTCATTTTCAAACAAAAGCTCTAAAATAAGGATTGTTCTTTGGCCACATTATTGTATTTCTTTCCTACAATGTTTTAATAATGAATGTTAACATTTATATTAACAGGCTTTGAAAATCATAGTTCTCTAGGCCTAAAATAAATCATATCACATTACAGTATGCATTCATTAAGCTTTTTCTTTCCAGCTGTAACTTGATTTCTGACATTACACATTTAAAAGTCAACCACCTACAGTTTATCTTAATGTGTTAAGGGAACACATGCTTTTCCAGGACAGTTAACATCATGCTGCACTGAGATGGGAGATAAATTAAAAATAATCAGGAAAACAGAGCATGGTTTTCTTAAATTTTTTTTCTTCCACTTTCTGAGAGTTTAAAAGCTGTCTACAGCTTGCAGCTGTATTTTTTTCCTGTATTCACAGTATGCCATTGCTAGCCTTCTTGCAATTAGCTTTTTAATTTTTTTTTTTAAGTAAATTATATATCATGGTAATTTCTTAAACTAGCTTTTCTATATTTATGATACGCTGTTATTTTAATCTATTGAAAGTTTATATCAAGATGCAAAATATTGCTTGAGTGTCACCCTTTTTAACTGTCAGCACTAAAGACTTATTTATGAGCCAGCCAAGTTAGGATGAACAGAATTTCACCTGAAGCATTTTGCAACGAATACACTAAAAATGCAGAGTATTTCAGTGACTAGTATTAACTGACCAGTATTTTTGTAGGATATTTAAAATCTGATTCCTGTGCACTTTATTTCATTTAAAGGGCTGATTGATTAAAAAAAAAAAAAAGAAACAAATCACAGAAATTAAAAAAACTTACCATTATAAAAAAGAAAAGTGGGACGAAAGGAAACAGAAATATGTTAAGTTGTTTTCTTTAATAAACAGAGCTAAATACTCTCACACAAAGGTCAAATTATTAAGAGATGTAAATTAGAAAAACATGCCCAGCTTATGTTATTATCATCAAAGTCATATGAATCAAAACAGTTTAGCTTAGCAAAACAACACATTCAGATCCATTATGGAACAAACAGGCATGCTGCAGACTTGTTTCTGTAGACCAAGTATACATTTTCAGAAGCATTAAAATGTATAAGGTCACCTGCTATTAATGCAATTTTCCATTCCTGGCAGAAAAATCAAGGTAAAAAAGTAACTAAACCTTTTTTTTTTCAAATCCCAGCCTTACCAGACGTAACTGATATGCACTAACTAAAGTAGAGAGACAAAGAAAACTCTCTTCTTCTTTCCTAAGAACATCCAATTGCAAAGGCCAGCACATGACACGAGGCAGCAAGTGAAGAGATACTTCAAGAACAGCAGTCTTCTCTTCCTATAGGCTAGGAAAGTGCACTAACCCACTCGTCTAAAATTTTCAAGAATTTTCTTTGTGGCGCACCCACACTATCTCCTGTTTATACATGAACAGCACCCCATAAAATTGTTGTATTGCAAATGAAATTACCCTCTAAGTCTAGCTGGAAGTAACTCTCTTAAGCACATGTCAGAAGGACAGAGAATCAGCAGGTTTTCATTTCAACAAAAGTTGTCCTCTTTAAATACAAAAGAAGTCAAGAAGTCTGCCACACACACCAACAGCCCAGGTTGTGGCCTTTCAAAATCCTCCTGGTTGCTTCTCACATCACTAGGGCTTAAACAACAGTGACAACACACACAAACAGTACGTGACACTCGTTTTGCCTTTGCAGCTTTTCATCTTACAACATTTGATTGAATAGAGACTAGGCGATTGCTCTACAGGGCCTTCCAAACGAGGAGTCGCACCTCCAAAATTCTGTACTTCTTAACTTTCCTTATTCTAAAAATACCTGGGGCTACAGAATATTTTAACGTGGAAGAAATCCTAGCTGAAGTTTAGTAAGTTGTACTTCTAAGTAATTTTTGACTTAGCACACCTCAACTCTGTGGTTCGAGGCAACATGCTGTCCATAATACCCTCCAAACCTGCTTGTGACCCCAAGATTTCAAAATAAGGTCTGCAAGAACTAAAGAATGCTGCCCAAAGCACAGCACTTCCAACTTCTGAATTTAATTCTAAAGATTCTTCCTTCTCACAATCTGGTGACAACAGTGTTGTGCTAGAATCCGCTGGGAAACTGCTTTTAACTATTTCAATAGACTTCTTTACATGAAGATCTACTACAGAGAAATTTGGCTGGGTCTTGAAACTTCTGCTACACTTTTCCATAAACAAAATAAGCCAACTAGTGTTGTACTAATTCAAGAGAGATTCTAAAGCTTATAATTATGAATGTCTGTAGAAATAATTATAACTTACACCTTTTAATTCTGCTCACTTGGCAGTGCTAATGTCACAAATGCAATTTAGTAAAATTGAAAAGTATATTAAAGTAACCAGTCAGTCAAGAACAATACTCTCTGACACAACAAAACAAAATCTGTAACCCTGCATCATCTGAGGGGCACATGACTTTATTGGTCCTTTCCATTCATTCCTACTTTATTTCCTTGAATTCATGGAAATAAAATAATTCCAGAGCTATATGTTGTATGAGCATAAATAACTTTGTGCAAGGACTCACTAATCATTAATCTTACTATATTTCTTTTCAAAACACTGCACAGTTCACACACAATATCATTTTACATCTTGATACTTTCTTCCATGACTGCTCCTTTCACTTACATATTCTACAATAGCATGCCTGTTCCAAAAACTTTTAATTAATGATTTCAAGTCAGTAATTTTCTCTCCTAATCTAATTAACATGCCCAGTAAAAACCAGTAATTACTGTAAAAAGTACAGCTGCATGAAGCATGAGTTCACACTCTTGACTGTCATTTCAAACTGTGTTCAAGCTGTTTGAATTATATTAGCAGTAATTCTTATAAAAACTAAAAACTTTTTCAGAAGTGCACAAATTATTTCACTAAGTGACGGGGATAATTAGCCCAGATCAAATGCCACATGTATACAAGCACACTGTAGCTGGTATACCGCAATCTCTGCACAGGGCTGCGTTGTGCCTTACAAAAACAGGAGGTGGAATGCACCCACCGTGTTAGCACGTGAAGGTTAGCTACCCAGGAAAAGTGAGTTATCAAGTATCCCTTTACGATCAATGGAGAAAGTGAGATGAATCGTCTGCTGGACATTTCTTGAAGCGTTTCCTTTTCACTCATTTGTTAAACTTGCTGAGATTAGTCAAATCTAACTATCCAAATTCACAAAGCAATCCCCCATAGTATAATTAATATAATGAAGACTTATCAATAGATTTTTCTGGAACCATACTCATCAACATATTAGTTCCCAAACACAGTTATTCTTCAGAAGATTGTTCAAAGGGCCTGTATACACGTAACAACTACCAACTGCGTTTTCAGTTGCACTCCAATTGCCTACAATATGATGCAAATCCGCTAAATGAGAAGAGCGCCTTTACGAACTGCAGTTTAGAGTATTGTAAACAAATATAAAGCACCAGAAGGTTTACACCACAGTGACAGTGTTTCTTCCTCTGACTATACAACTCTGAATATGCAAGTAGAGCTAATATATATACAGAACCAACAATATCCTATAGCAATGATATTAAAGGTTGACATATACTATCTGTCTATTTTAAAGAGTTTTAGACCACTCTTAATTGTCCTGGTGCCTGATCAGCTTCCATATAAAACAGGGAGAGTGTCCACTAGTCCTAATTTCTTCTAGTTCTAATTATACTTAAAGTAACAAATTTTGTCACTGACTCCTATAAGGCCAAGATTTTATCCCCTCATTCACTTTTCTCTCACATGAAAGTCTACATCATATTTGCACTTGGATGCATTAACTTGGTTTCAGAAAAAAGATTTTAACTTAAAAAGTTTTTGTAGCATCTTCTAAGTGGTCACGACTATTAATAAAGAGCATGGTGGGGAGGGAAAATGATAAATATGAGACTTTCAAATTCAGAGGATATCAACTCTGCATTATACTTTAGTAGGCACTACTGGAGAACAATAAAGTTGAGGCACACGTAACAGTTAAAAAACAGCAGTCTGTATCTGTTCATCTTCTCAAAATATATGATGACCCATATCTACCTCTAACTTTGGTGTCAAATAAACTACGAAGAGAGCCTAATATCCAAGGACTGCATTTATACAAGAGACATTGAAGATGGCCGTTACAGTACACTTCATCTTAATATAAAAATGCATCCAACTTCTTTCTGATATGTTCAAAAGCATCTTTCCCCATGTAGTCCATTCGCCCTTCCTCCCATTTTCTCCTTTCATCTTCTGCACTTGGTTCTTCTGGTTTGAGGTGAATAGACAGCTCTGAAACAGCATACGTAACCTCATTCTGTGGGAAGAAGCAGAACAGTGGGAAAACAGTCATTTGGTTGTTCTCATTTCTGTGCTGTGAAGTTAAACCTTAAAAATCAAATTTCTGCTTTTTATAGTCCCAATTATAAAACAAACAAACAAATGACCAGTATTCAAACATTCACTCTTATTTTCATACCATGATCTCATTTTTCCAGACTTACTACTTATCCTAATAATCTTCAAGATCAAGTCAGCATAGTTCCACAAATGCAAGATAATACATATTATAAGTAATTCAACCAAATAAAAGGGAAACCTTGTTCCTGAAAGAACAATGCTGGTCAAACAGGGGCATCTCAACAACTGGTAATAAAGCA